ACGGCAAATAAAACAACCAGCAATAACACATCCTCTTTTTTCACATCTGCGCACGTTCTCGCGCATGACATTTCTTGGTAGGAAATCCGTCAAAATGCTGTCAGTAGCGTCGTAGCGTCTATAACCGAGTTTAGTTTATTTCACTTTGCTGTTGCAGTAAAGTCATAGGCGTGCATTTGTTGAATTAGTTGTTTGTGAATAGTTGTTTATAATTTGGTGTAGTACTGACATAGTGTGAGACTAACGTTATTTGTTATTTAAGTATAACAATGTATAAGACAATGAGTCATGGTGTTTGTGCAGTGAGAAGTTGTAGAAATCAGAGATATTCTTCAAAGAAAAGTTTCTTTAGATTTCCTGCTGATACAACAAGGTATGTGTAGTGCTAAAATGTGAAAAGATTATAGTTTTTACACCAATTATTAAATTGACATTATAACCTACATATAACATCCTTATCTAAAATGGTTGGTTTATAAAAAAGTATTAGTCCTAACTTAGCCGTAACTTAACCTTAATCTTAGTCCTAAAAAGTTAAATGTACAGAATGTAATGTATTGGTTTATAAAAATCTTTTAACCTTGCCCTACCTCTATATATTATATTTTGTACATTTAACTTTTTAGGACTAAGATTAAGGTTAAGTTACGGCTAAGTTAGGACTAATACTTTTTTATAAACCAACCATTTTAGATAAGGATGTTATATGTAGGTTATAATGTCAATTTAATAATTGGTGTAAAAACTATAATCTTTTCACATTTTAGCACTACACATACCTTGTTGTATCAGCAGGAAATCTAAAGAAACTTTTCTTTGAAGAATATCTCTGATTTCTACAACTTCTCACTGCACAAACACCATGACTCATTGTCTTATACATTGTTATACTTAAATAACAAATAACGTTAGTCTCACACTATGTCAGTACTACACCAAATTATAAACAACTATTCACAAACAACTAATTCAACAAATGCACGCCTATGACTTTACTGCAACAGCAAGGTGAAATAAACTAAACTCGGTTATAGACGCTACGACGCTACTGACAGCATTTTGACGGATTTCCTACCAAGAAATGTCATGCGCGAGAACGTGCGCAGATGTGAAAAAAGAGGATGTGTTATTGCTGGTTGTTTTATTTGCCGTGCTAGAGTCTCCAGTGCATAAGCGCTACAACGGCGACTCCTTAAACTTTACTTTGGGTCATAAAACTGGATCCGAATTTGTATAAGTGGCCCATAAGAGTCTTCGCTCCTTGTCTACATTCCATAGTTGGGCAATAGCTAGATCGCATTTTAGTGCCTGCATTAGAAAGTGAACAAGTTATTACCCTTTAATGTTCTATTCTTCGAGCATATACCACTTGAGGTAGCATGCCATTGCAAAAAATGTGGCTGAGTGTGCGAGAAAGACAGATAGTATCTCAGTAATTGCTGTCTCACTCTAGCACGCACACGCGATTAGTTGAAAATGAATGCTCGCGCTCATTGGTTCCCGCAGGGCTAACGTCGTTAAAGCAAAAAATGTGATAGCATGTACTGAGATAAGATCTGTCTCTCTCGCACACTCAGCCACACTTTTCGCAATGGCATGCTACCTCCAGTAATATATGCTCGAAGGTTTTATTTGAATCCACCCCAGTAAATGAAATTGAAATTATAGTACTTGTAAAGTCCCTAGATAGTCCAGGCGGTATCTGTTTCGGGTTGGGTAAAGCGCATATGATCGGAGATTTTTGCTTTAACGGCTTCTAAATAACATCAGAAATGATAATTTTTCTATGCAAATGAAAAAAAAACGTGGGCTTAATTGTTATTGCAAAAAAGTATAAAAAAATAGCAGAAAAATTAATTTATTTCTTGGATTTCTCGTCGACAACTTAGCAACTATTAATTTTAGACAAAAATGGAAAAGGAAAAAAAGTTTTGTAATTAAATACAACAAGATAGTTAGTTGCAATTCAAAAAAAAAATTGTTGAAAAAATCGGAAAAATCATTTAAAAAATTGCAAAAAATGTTAGTTTATTTGTCAATTTTTTTCAGACACTTGAATAATACCTCGGATCTTCATACTTTTCTTAATTAAACTTCTTAGTGCATAGAATCATCACACCAAATTTCATCCAATTCGGTTCGATAGTTTTTACATAATAATTGTTTAAATTTTTCATTTTTTTTTTAATTAAAAAATTTTCAAAATCAAATTTCTAAAAATTTAAAGCCTTTGAATACTTGAAAATTTCACTACAAAAAGAAAAGCTGTCAAGCTTTAAAATGGTTTTTGAAAAATTTAAATCGGACGATTAGGTGAGCCGTGGTGATTGTTTAAACATTTTCGCAATTTTCACGTTTATAATAAACAATTGCAATAATTTAATGTTTTTTTAAAAAAATTTTTTATTCTAAAATATGGTTTGAAAATACTCGGAAAGACGAGTATTTTACAGCAAAACTATAAGAGTATAAGGCAGTGGCGTACACACGCCCCCCTATGTGCTTTAACTTTTAACAATAATTATATAGGTACCTATTAAAACTTCCTATTGCCGTATATATTTTGTTGTTTCCAATATCGTACTTGAATCGGACTAAACGTTGCAACGTCGCTTTTTAGTTTCGTCTGCTTCCCTGTGCTCTAGTTTCGTGCCGCGAAAATCTTACTGCAAAGTGTAACCCCCCCTTACAAAAAAGCTGTGTACGCCACTGGTATAAGGGCTGTTTTTTGAACTAATAGGTTTATCATTCCGAGTACTTTCCAGATATAAATTTTCACAATTTGCAATCACATCCCATTTAAAATGTCACTCAAAGATATTCAAGACCGCGTGAAATCAATGAGGTATCAGTGGTGGGGGGAGCAAACACAGCTACTCCGATCTGAATTCTCGAGTTCAAAACAGCTTCTAATGGACCAATTTCGATGATTTTTTTAAATCGATGTCTCGCAACTTAAAATATTCAATTATCATATTTTCAACTACCTTTTATTATTAATTATTGGATTATGTTTATTTATTTACTATGTTAATATTCACGACCAAAATTTTTGCATGTTGCATCAGGTAATACTAGTAAGTTTGTTTAAATATTATAAAATTGTTTAAACAATAATTATTTAAATAAATAACTGAAAATTGGTCTCATCTTCATTAATCACACATCTGGAGCCAGATTTTCAGGTGGAATCAAATTTATACGTCGCATAAAAAGTATACCCAACTTTTTTTTTTGTGTGGCTGTGTTATTGTTATAAAAATGCCTTTATTAAAGTAATCAATCACTGAAAAAAATATACATAATACACCTAACAAAGCAATTAAGTAGTTAAATAGTTACTACATTTTCACTGGTTCACAAGAAGATATAGTTTCGTTTCCTTTTTCACATTTCTCCAATACGCAGATGTAATAGTTCAATTCACGACTGTAATTATCAATATCTTTTTCCACATCTTCGATATTAACGTTTTCAATTTGTTCTTTAGTTCTCTTCAACTCGTTTAATAATTGTTGCCCCTCCTTTACATTATATTTTTCATTTAATTTTTCTATCTCAGCTTGATGTTCCTCTTGAAGCTGTTTCAATCTATCCTTTATTACGTCTTCATTATGTCCCGAGAGATTGTTAATCATTGCTTTTAACTTTTCTATTTCCTCAGCTAGAGCAAGGGTTTCGTTAGTCAGATGATAGATATCTTCTAATTCTTTTTCCTTATCTAGAAACTTTTTTGTACCAGAAAGGACGTCATCTGCATTTTTTCTAAAAAAATGAATAGTTTATTGTAACAGTGACAAATCCATACCTAGCTTAGTTCTGATTTTCAGACAAATACAAAGTATAAAGAAAAAAGTAAAATATAGGTTGGTACCTATATAAATATGTAGGTAGACAGTAGCTAAACTAATTTTAAAAAGTCCGTAGGAAGTATTAATTAAAAACTGTTGAAATATCTCAATTTTGTGAAAATATAAGCTGATTTGGCAATGACTTAGATTTTTTAAGTATTAATTTTCTCGATCTTATATAGATCTCTATGTAGACTTACTTGTTTTGGGAGGCTTTATTCTTCAGATTATCAACGTTGTCTTTAAAAACACTTAAAACGAATAAATTAGCTAACTGGAGAAATAATAACTTCAGGTCGTTGTGGAATTTACTAAAACAGTTTGTGGAAGGGCCCTAAAATAATTCAGTGTTAGTTAGTTAGCCCACAGAATAATTGCTTCCAGCAATATCAGTTAGGGGTCTTGTCTGTGAAGTTAGACATCTTCAAAAAACATTCAGACTTCAATTGACACGATTTTAATAATAATTAAGGACTAGATTGTTACTATAGACCGATCAACTCATTTAGAGGGAAAAAATAAATAAATGCGTGAGCAGGGGAGGCGGAGGGTTGATTTGAGGGGTTGAAAAGTTATGAAAAATTGTATCATTGGAATTTCTAGCAAAAGTTGACGTCAAACAAAAAAGTATGCAATACAAAAGTTGTAGATCATGCAAAAATCTACAACTTTTGTAAAAGTAATTTTTTAACATAACCTCAAAATTTCTGAGAAAAATGCGCAAAACAGGTTTTTTTCTGATTTTTTGTCTTTTATTTCTCATTTCTGCACAAATAATTTAATTTTGACGAAACTTGGTGAAAGTATACCTTTCTCTATCTTTAATAACCTCAAATTTTTTTTAGATAAGAAAATCGAGACGTTTCTGAGATATTCATTTTTTTCGGCCTGAAACACTTTTTTTTTCAAAGAAAAATTCTACTTAAAAAAATTACAGAGTTCTGCCGGTATCATTTTTTTCGTTTTGACAAATTTTTTGGTGAAATACAAAAATTTGCAATCACAATTCAAAAACATGCTCAAAAATAAAAAAAGTAAAAAATGACTTGCAGCAATGAAATTTTCAGTAATTGTTGTTAATTTGTTTAAATTTAAATAAAAATCAAAAACTGATTACACCATTCAATTGTACGGAAAAAATACAAAAAAAACTGTCTCATTGTTTGACCCAAAACTATTTTTATACAGTATTGCTATAAACATAAGTTGAATAGTGAATAAATAAAATTAATAATATTTTTTTTCCGTAGGATCGATTAGTGAACTTATTTTTTTTAAGTTTGATGAATTCATAGATATACAGTGTGTCCAAGATAAGGATGATAGCATTAAGATCTAGGAAACGGTAAAATATACGGGGTTGCTCAGATTAGAAAAAAGTTGTGTTTTTTATACCTAACAATATGCTGTGTAGAAAGTTTTAAAATTCCGGGTAGTTCCGGAAATATCCGGAAAAACCCTAAATTTTGCTAAATTGTTTAATTTTTTCTGGGTTTATTTGAAAACGAGTTTTAAAATAAATTACATATTTACATTGCCACTTTTTTCGCTCTATACAATGGCGTGGCGTCAACATTTTTGCAATCCGACGTTTCGTCTTCGAGGAGCCATCATCGGATTAATTTTTTTAAATACGTCGTTGCTTTATGACACAATTTAAAGTCATTTTTAAATCTAAATTAGAGGATATTACTATTAATCGTTTAAAAAGTTGTTTGTTTTATCTATAATTTAAAATTTTTCCTGAGTACGACTCTGAACGCTTTCAAAATATCTATTGGATGAAGTCATAACAGTATAAAAGTCAATACCGCACAAAATATACAACAATTATTTACTACTGTTAGCAATACTAATCAGAAGTAATAAAATATTTCATAAATTTGTATTATTTTTTTATTAGGTACTTTTTAAATTATGGATTAAAAAAATTGTTGGATATTTCGTGTTGTATTGACTATTATTCTCTCCTCTCTCTCTCTCTCCTCCAATAGATACAGGTATTTTGAAAGCGATCAGAGCCGTACTCAGGAAAAATTTTTAATGATAGGTAAAAACCTTTTTAAGCGATCACAATAGTAATATCATCTAATACAGAATTAAAAATGTCTAGATTTTGTCATAGAAATAGCAGCGATATATTTAAAAAAATTAATCTGACGATGGCCCGTCGAAAGCGAAACGTCGGATTGCAATAATGTTGACGCCATTGGATAGAGCGAAAAAAGTGGCATTGTAAATATGCAATTTATTTAAAATTCGTTTTCAAATAAAGCCAGAAAAAAAATAAAACGATTTTGCAAAATTTCGGGTTTTCGGATTTCGCGTCAACAGTAGACTTTGCAGTTAATACTTTGTATTGCTGAAATCTCAAAACATCCTGAGATAATTTATCATTTGTGCATTTGTAATTCGACTTAGATGTTTATAGCAATACTGTACAAAAATAAAGTTTTGGGTCAAACAATGAAGCAGTTTTTTTTTAAATTTTTTTCCGTAGAATTGAATGGTGTAATCAATTTTTGAATGTTTTTCAATTTAAATAAATTATCAACAATAAATGTAAAATTCATTGTTACAAGTCATTTTTTATTTCTTTTTTGGATTTTTGAGCAGGTTTTTGAAATGTTATTACAAATTTTTTTATTTCACCAAAAAGTATGTCAAAACGAAGAAAATGATTACCGACAGAACTCTGTGTGATGATTTTTTTAAGTAGAATTTTTCTTTGAAAAAAAAAGTGTTTCAGGCCGAAAAAATGAATATCTCAGAAACTTTCTGATTTTTTTATCTACAAACAATTTGAGGTTATTTAAGACAGAGAAAGGTATACTTTGACCAAGTTTCGTCAAAATTAAATTATTTTTGCGGAAATGAGAAATAAAAAACGAAAAATCAGAAAAAAAACTGTTTTTCGCATTTTTCTCGGAAATTTTGAGGTTATGTTAAAAAGTGACCTCTACAAAAGTTGTAGATTTTTGCATGATCTACAACTTTTGTGTTGGATACTTTTTTGTTTGACCTTAACTTTCGCCAGAAATCCCAATGATACAATTTTTCATAACTTTTCAATCTCCCAAGTCAACCCTCCGCCGCCCCTGCTCACGCATTTATTTTTTTTAGATTTATTATAAGCCCTTTTACCGTTTCCACTTATAAAAGTCCAGGTAACAATTTTTTTTTTTCACCAAGTGTAATTTGGTTGGACTACTAGGAATAACTTAGGAATAACAAATTAGGTATTAAAAATTAAAAAAAATATAATTTAGTTTTAGTTAGTATAAAGTATAATCACCTCTGTTATCAATTTTTCTAGCAAATCAAGCTCATCTGAAACACTATGTGGGACATTCATTATATCTTTGGTGTAGTTGTGCCCATTCAATTGCTCTAAAAACTTCTTCCACTTTGCTAATTCTTCTTCTTGTTCCGTAATATCTGTAGATGCTGGCCGATGAACAGTTTTCTATAAACTATTTTATTGAAATATTATAGTGGATTATTAAAATTTAAGTACTTGCATTTGCACTTATTTCTGCATCTTCTCTCTCCAAGGGCCAGCTTTTGTTAAATTTGATCTGTTTTATTTCATCTTCTATTGCTTTTAAACTGTCTAAAAGCGGTTCTAGCTTCGCATTTGAATCGTCGTTGTTTTCTTTTATACCACTATTATATTTTTCTAACTGGTTTAGACCTGAATTTGCTTTATTAATAGTTTTATTAAGTTTGCTTAATAGATCCTCCAATATTTTGTTTATATTTCCATATTTTTCCAAAATTCCATCAAACACCTTTTGAATATTATCTAAAATATCCTCTCATAAAAACCCGATACCTAATTTGCATTTTTATTAATGTTTTACCTCTTTCACCTCCTATTAGGGTGTGATAATACTTGTAATTTTTATCCTTATCACACTGAGCGTTAGATTTAGCGAAGTATATGCCAAAAATTAATAATAATATTGCTTTATTCATGTCAGATTTTAAAAAGAGATCTACTTATGTCATAAAAACATTTGTAGTTACTGCTTCATCTAATTCTGTAATTGTATGTAATATGTCTTATCTAAGATAAGGAAAGATAAAACTTATTTGTTCTTCATTAGCTTAAGTATCTAGATACAGTCATTTCTCTGGTTTTATAAATACACTTAGTTCATAATTAAACAAATTCTATTTTAGTAAAATAGTTTTTATTATCTTACATTGTATTTACAACTTACCTATATACAATACATATTTAATTTAATAACTTAATTGTTACTTAAATATAACGCACGCAACATAATCTATTTACATATAGGAATGGCTACCATTTGGAACATGTGGCGCTGATGGATGATAATCAAACTCTGGGTTGTCTTCAATTCCTATAAGGTCGGAGTCTCCACTCCTTATACTAAAACAAAACAGCATAATTACCATTTTTTAAAAATCAAGTTGATATATGAATTGATAGCAAATCTCCTCTAAAGTTAGCTAAAAAGAGATTCAGAAAATTAATTGAGTGCCCAATTAAAATATCAAACGGGTTAAGTGCCATCTTTCATGAAATTGTATCTGTACTGTATACCTGTGAAAACAACATGTAATGCGCTTAAGTATCGATACTTAAATAAAATTAAAATTTAATGGTTGTAGTATTTTAGATCAAAATGTTGGGGTTTGGGGTATTACGCAATACACATTTCAAAATAATAATAAAAGAAAATTGAGGGAATAAAAAATGTATTGAACATTAAAACTTGTTTCAAGGTTGACAATATAAACTTCGCTCCAAAATGATTGTTGATTACGGGATTTTATCAATATCTAGGGACTTTGGTGCCAGTGTTTGTTTTATGGGTGCTAAATCTCACTATTTATTAGATGGGTTGATATTGCCCGGTAAACGTTGTAAAGTTGTTAATTAGAAAGTTTATTTACAAAATACAATTTCCTCTGAGGTGGAAACAATAAAATTTTTTGGCAGACGCGTATGTATACATTCATACATTTGTTCTTACCTGTGTGCGTCGTATTCATCAAATTTGGATAGGTCTTTCTTAACATCGTCGCTGTTGATGTTAAATATGGGATTAGATCCCTCTATAGCATGTTTGTTGGTAGTTGGAGCAGAAATACCCAGCCTATTAAGACCTGATTCCTGGGATCCAAATTTGTTCGTAGTTAATTTCTTAATTCTGTTATTCAATCTGGAAAAATAATCGTTTGAAGTATAGTAAACATTTAAAGGAAACATCTAAGAACATCATAATATCTGGTGAATGAAAATCAGGTACAAATAATAACAGTATTGTCACTTACTCTCTTGTCTTCAGTACAAATGTGACCAACAGGATCAAGCAGAGCGCGCCCAATACAACTGATACACCCACGAGCCAAGCCTTCAGCACTTCTTCTAAATTCTCTGTGGATGTGGCGGTGGCTGGGAAGCTCATAAGGGTCAGTCCAGTTCTGTTCCTTACCTCCACAACTAGTTCTGAGAAGGTGTTTATGTTGGACACCATTCTGAAACCATACGGTTGAATCTTTTACTTCACGCATTAGTAAAATATTTAAATCCAATTCCTCAAATCTTATTACCAGTATGTTCTTCAGATAAAATTAAATATACGAAGTTTTCGTTCTTACGAAGTTATCGCAGTTTGGAAATGCTGTTTTTTTTAAATATCTTCAAAAATATTTTTGCAAACACTTGTTTTTTGCCATAGATTGTACAGTTATAGAGACAAAAAATATATTGCTTGACCAAACACATCATGTCCGCAAGATCTGCAGCTCAAGAAGAGCCCGTGATAGAAGTGACAAAGACAGGAGACCTTAGTTTTTAATTTTACTTAGATCCGGTAAATATAGTTATTTAATAGAGATTTTATATTACATGCTTCATATTTAAATATACTCGTGGACAAGATGAATTTGTTCAGGCTATATTTAGAGCTTTTTATGTCGCTGAAAAATTAACTCAAGGTGAAGATTTTGATAATACGATTTTCGAATAAAACTGAAATATGTAACGTTACATAACAACACATAAAACAAGAACAACATAAGTTTTACAGTCGACTCAGAAAATGAAAAGAGAAAATGTGATTTAAATATTTTGCAAATCACAACTGTATTTACCTCAGAATCGTACTAGATTCTATGGCCTCTATGGTAGTGCTGTTTATGAAATAGAGGCTAGCCAGTGTTCTATCTGTCAATTCTACGCCATCCTCAGTCGCTTTCAGGATATCTTGTTTATACGCCTCGTAGCCTATTATTTCAGAAATCACCTCCAACATCTTAAAATTAAATGCTTAATTAATTCATTATAATGATATGAAAATATGAGTGATTTAGAACATCGATCGTTTAATTTATTTATAGCTTTTCTTCGGTACTTAATAGGATCAGAAAGAATTCGCTACTATTTAAAGGGTGTACCACAACAGCGTATCAAAAATGAAAGAGCGTATAAATTTAAAAATATTTTCCTCAAGGATTACGATATTTGTTGAGATATAATTCCAAGAAAAGTAAGTCTAGTAAAATAACTTTCAAATAAATATCTTTATTTAAAATCAAGCACGCTGTACAGTTTTCTATAATTTTTACATTAGTGAAAATATTTGGAAAATTAAAAGTTTTCATTCTTTCCAGAACCGTTATTTTTGTACGGCATAAAGGTTTTTATGTCATATTTTTGTCTTGGGTCGAAATGCCGTTAATTTCTATTTAATTAATTTACCCGGCCCAAAATTGGAAAGTTTGATTTTCCGCTGACAACCCATGTGCCACGGAGAATTGACGGCATAGTGCTCAAATGTTTTCTTTTAGGTTGTAGTATTTAAGTCATAGACTCTTACGGTGCCTAAAATGATTAGGAAAATTTTCCTATCCGGGTCTTAGTCTATCAGTGTGTACTAAGCCGAGCGCAAAATTTGGGTCTATTTCAATCGCGCAATGGACTGTTCCAGGTAATGAAGCAATCTCAAACAATGCCATTTCCGCTACTCTGTTCTGGTATCTACCTATTTTTCATAAATATTAAGAATTAAGTAATAATAAGAACATTCCGCAATATTCTACTTACTCCAACTTCTTGGTCCTGAACTTCGTCTACAGTGTTGTAGAATCTGAAATCCACGGTATTATCGCTTGTTATTATGAAAATTGTTACAGAAGTCGTGTTCCCGTGTGGTCCTAAAATAAAGGATAAATTGTATTAAAATATTTTACAAGGAAAAAAAAGATTAAATGCTAAGTAGTAAATTAAACAACCCAACAATAGTTTTAAAAATATGTTACAATCAAATACTCAGATCAGATTTAATGCAATTGTATAATAAAATACACAATCTTGCATCTGGCTTACTTACCGTTTCCGAACTGATCTTTGACGTCCCATACGGTTACGTCAAATTGAAAATATCCAGACATAATACTGTCCACTTGGAAGTTCAGTCTAATTTCTCCAGATGATTCAGATACCAAGAATGGCTCTTGTATATTGTTCAATCCTGAACCAATGACGTTAACTGTCCCGTTTAGGAAGTACGTCAGTTTGCCCTGATCTATCTTGTCTGCATCTGTAGCCTTTAATAAAAAAAATAATTCTATAACTAACCAAATATACCAGTTCTAAGTTGATTGGCTAAACCATTACCTGGTAATGGTTAGAGAGATCAATACAAAATATATTTCTCATAGAAAAAATATACTAGTTTTCTTTAAACTATACTAGAATTTCTTAAAGATCTATGTTTTTTCTGAAATCGTTTCAATGTGGTTATACTTCTATGGCATATACAGTGTGTCACAAAATGATGGAACAAAATTCATATTTTTTCCAGTTCAATCACTGAAACAGGTCAATTAGTAAACAGAAATTGTCACTTTTCTGCAAAATTTTCTATTTTTTTAGCCTTTCTGGTGCACGCCTATGAATATTTGAGAATATTCGTTGATCAGGTATCATTCTATTGGGATAGCACTTCACGTACAGACGCACAGTGGGCTCGATTTGAAAAAAGGTGGCCAAAAATCGAAAAAATGATAGTCACCGAATGAGTTTAGTACTATAGAATCTTGTAGAGGAGGCTTTGGTGAATGTTATTCCAAAAGGAAAGTGAGATATCTTTTATACCTGAGACGCTACATTAGTTCATAGTTACCGTTCTCGGCACAACGTGAACCACGTGTAGCGGCTCCGAAATATCACTTTTACTTAAAGTGCACGTAACTTTTTATTCCAGTGTCCTTTTTCAATTCTGTTTGATGGAGGACGTTAAGGAAGGAATGTAGAATATTTACGTATATAATGTTTTTATTAATTTATACTAGCGGGTGTTAGAAATCATGTCAAAGATGTGTTTACATAATGGTTTTCCTTGTAAAAATTTTTACCGTAAATTAGCAAAAAAGTTATCTATCCAGCGGGAACCCAGAAGTAGAGATATGGAGCATATAGTTAATGATGTTTTATAATAGAATCTGGAAGAAAAATTTGCTCGTCTCTGCCTCTGTACTTGTGAGGTTAGAAATACGCGACGCCGGGCAGCTACTTTGTTAGGTTAAGGTCGACGCAGTCACACAGCAGGGGTCCGAAACTACCTGCTATTGAAAGATGTAGAATAGTATACCATAGCTTTTTTTGATAATTTTCATATATACATACCGGGTGTGTTATTTTAATGTATTATTAAATTTTTATCCTTCTTGCAATTGATCATTCCAATAAACTCCGCGAAAATATTATTGTTTATAAATATAATTTTCCTTATTTTACACTTAAAGCTTGTTATATGAGAAATGTGTTTTTATTTAATATTACATCGCATTATGTCTGTATTTTAGAATCGCGTATTGATAAAATAATCTGTACTCGTCGAGAACTGTTCGAGATCAAACGGAACGATTTGAACTTGGACTTGGACACGCAACTTAAATGTTTGGAACAACATTTTGCTACAAAGATGGAATGTTTTTTTCAATGGATTGACAGCCTCTGAAGAATCTGTTGCCCAAACTTAAAAGAAGATGGAAACTATCTCAAAGAACAACAAAATGCTTTCTTCAAAATATTGAAACCTAAAAAAAAGTTAAAATTTGTCATCGAAGGCCCTAGAGCTTTTATTTTCCCAGATGATGATGAGTCTGAAAATTTTCTAGAAATTTCGGATAAGCATAATACTGACTCTGATTTCGAACATGATAACTATCCCGACAGTGATAGCGACTGAATAAAAACTGCTACTCCGACAATTTTTTAAATAAAAATTTTGCAATTGTAATATTATAATCGTTATTAGCAACCTTGAATACCCTTATACACCAATTTATATGCAATTCCAAACAATTTTTAATTAAGTGGTCGGCCATATTGGATCCGCCATTTTGAATTTTGAAATTATAATATAAAATTCGTAATCAGCGACCTCGAAAACTCTTATATAACAATTTATATGAAATTCCGAATAATTTTTAATGAAGTGATCGGCCATATTGGATCCGCCATTTTGAATTTTGAAATTATGATATGAAATTCGTAATTAGCGACCTCGAAAACCCTTATATACCAATTCACATTCAAATTCAAAACTTCTTTCTATTTTTGGCCAACTTTTTTGAGATCGGGCCCACTGTGAGACGTCTAGCAAGGCCATACATGAAATGCATTTCAGCCATTTCAAAATTCGTAACATTTAGCATTGTTATAAGATTATAATGGTTAATGAGTATTTAAAACACTTTTACACTTTACAGTTTATAACTTAATATTTAATTTATAAATATATGCAGACCTAAGTTATGATTTCAAATGTGCACTGTCAAAATTAATAAAAAGAAAAGATTATGCTAAGAAATCCAGACTCTACTGGACCATTTTAAGAATTTCATCCAACGAATTACACAAAATCGCTATTTATTTTTTTCTCGATAACGATCGCAGATACGAAAAAATCATAAGAAACCAAAAAGTTTATCAACAAAATATAAAATTTAATTTTGAATTTAGAATCTATCAGCGGCGCACCGCACAAAAGTTCAGGGGAAGAAAAGGGGACATGACCCCCGAAAAAATATCGCTATGTAGAAGGGCTACCTATTTGTACTATAAAATATAGAGCGTCCTATTAAAAAAAAGTCGGAAATGTTATAGGTCTGTCAAGCATGTCTCAAAAAAAATAAAAAATATAGCAGAAAAGTGACAATTTCTATTTACTAATTGACCTGTTTTAGCGACTTTTTTAAATCCAACTGGAAAAACATAAGAATTTTGTTCCATTATTTTTGAACATATTATATAACATGTAGATCAATTTCAATTAAAGAAATATCATTATTGTTTTACAAGTAGGTACCTCAAGTGTCAAAATAATAGTGCTCGAAGAATATCCTGCCATTACAGCACCAAAGAATTTGTCCCTACTCCATTGCGGCCAATTATTGTTGATTTCAATCACCTACAACAAAATTTGCTTCTTACTCTTTCAGTTATTCTTTTGAATATTTGAATTTTACTCACGTTACATGTGACACTTAAAAATGAGGAGGGATTGTGACTAGTAGGTGACGAGTCGTTAGATGCTACAATCTTAAATTCTAACTGTTCATTTTCTTTGAAACTGATAACTTTTTTCAGGGATATCACGCCAGTGAACTCATCTACTTCAAAGGTATTATCTATTACATCATTCGAAGACTCCGGATATATGTAATAAAATACTGGCAGATCCTCATCTTCTACTTCGTATGATGCTACGCAATCCAATTTTTGTGTTTGATCCAGTTTTTCTTCCCTGAATTTGAATTCCATTGATGTACAGCTGAACACGGGCTTCTGGTTGTTGTCTAAGAAGTTTATTGTTATGTTCGTCTCACTTGTGTAAGATGCCTCTCCAGATTGGGGTTCTCCCTCTCTGGCTGTAGCAATCAGCTTCAACTTAAAAATAAAAAATATTTGATGCAGAATTATATTACGTCTTCAAGTAAAGTAGATAGCAATGAAAATAATGCAATCAGAATGTTATGACATAATGTATATTGTTACAAGGTCTAAATGAAAAATCGACATAAGGAAAATTACATTATTTTCACCCAAAGAATTTGTTAACGGCCTGACCTGCTTTTTTTATACCCTGTAAAATGTACACGTCTTTTTATATAATCTTTCCAAACATTAGGAAATATATATACAGGATGTTTTCATTAAAATTTCTTAGCTCTGTACCTCAAAGACCAAAGTAGTGCAAATGAGATTAATCTTTATTGCGATATAGATGGGGCAGTGAACCAAAGAAACTTGTCCCTGACAGGCATTTTAGATCAATCCATGTGAAAAAGTAGTTACTAAATTTTGGTCAGTTTTTAATATGGCCAATTTCTGAAAAATTTGTAATTTCCAAGATATTCGAAGCCGTAAGAATTTTTTTAACCTATGCAAGCTGGTTAAAATAAAATAAAAATTATTCTGTTTAACTTCATGTTTGAATGCAAATTATTAATTTATTATTGGAACTTCTGTTTTTTTTTGGTAAATAAAAAAATGTAGTTAGTATCTATATATTATTGTTAGTAATTTGTACATTTTGCTCAGAATTTAAATTGAATTACATGGATTAGTTTTAAAAGTTTAATTTACTGAAAGATTTCTTTGAGTCGCAGCGCCATCTATTAAGAGTGATACTGTCTCGAGTACATTTCAAATTTCATTCAGTTCTCGAATCTGACCTACGCACTCATTTGCAGAGCTTCTATGCTCCAAAAACCCAGCCAAAAATAGTTGCCGGTGCTAGAGAACTTCTAGCCGATCATCTTCATGAAGCAGAAGATGTAAATTTTTTTAACCTATGTTTCGAAATCAGCCGACGAATCTGTTCATAGAGCCGCAAATCGTTCCAAATACTTCAAGTAGCTGCAGACGACGTCAAGAGCGACTTTCGCGGACGCCAAATTTTCACTCGTTTTGAATCCAAAACGTCAGAAATGATACGAAATTCAACCTGGGACACGATACTGAGTTGTCTCACATAGAATAACAGCTAGATTTCTCAAGGGGAAATCAGCAGCCATGAACCGTCTGAATCCCGAGAGACCAGGTGTCAGGATCCGAACCGAACAGTAGTCTCCGAGAATTCGCGGAGCTACCCTAAAGTGTGATCTAACGTCAACTCTGATTTCGCAGTTTTGTAATCCGAGCGACCGGTCTCTGACCAGTGTAAATACAGACTTGAATTCAAGCGTATTTATTAGCATTCAATATCTTGAAGCCGCCCTTGCTTATTTAAAGGTAAATAACTTATAAAGCCATAGAGATTCACAGGAAATCTAAAAAACCAAAAAGAGTTTTTTCAAATTTGTTGATCAAATTCCAACTTTTATACATAGTTGTATTGTATAACACCCCTTTACTTGTAACCTGACAATTTATTGCAAAAATGTACAACTTTTTTGCAATTTAGAACATTGTTAAAAGTGTGACTGCACCTTTTGAGACCTAGACAAGCCATCTAGCATCCAATTCGTTCAGGACTTCCTGTGCCTGGGGTGAAGATTATACAAAGCAGTACCAAAAGAGTATAAAACCAGAAATAGAGGCAGAAATAATGTAAAAAAATAGCCACAATAGTCTTGGATATTGAATCAATTCGGTAGAAAACGACTCAGTTGAAAAACTCAGTGTCAGCGCGAGCGTATTTAAGTTATAAGGAAACAACAGAGGGCGTCACTCTATCAGATCCGAAAGGGACACGACTGTCAGGTCCAGAGGGAACATCAAAAGCCAAGCAAAGGAAGTTGCTATGGAAAGGAGTCAAAACGCGCGAGTCTACACAGCAACCCTCAAGTAGTCCAGGCGGTATCTCTTTCGGCTTGGGTAAAACGCATATGATCGGAGATTTTTACTTTAACGACTTTTAAATAACATCAGAAGTGATAATTTTTCTATGCAAATAAAAAAAAACGTGGGCTTAATTGTTATTGCAAAAAAGTATAAAAAAAATCATTTTTTTCTTGGATTTCTTGTCGACAACTTAGCAACTATTAGTTTTAGACAAAAATGGAAAAGGAAAAAAAAATTAGTAATTAAATTTTCAACAAGATAGAGTTAGTTGCAATTAAAAAAAATTATTGTTGTTGCAAAAATCGGAAAAATCATTTAAAAAATTGCAAAAAATGCTAGTTTATTTGTCAATTTTTTTCAGACACTTGAATAATATCTAGGATCTTCATACTTTTCCCAATTAAACTTCTTAGAGTATAAAATCATCACACCAAATTTCATCCAATTCGTTTCGATAGTTTTTACATAATAATTGTTTAATTTTTTTTTTAATTAAAAATCAAATTTCTAAAAATCTGAAGCCTTTGAATACTTGAAAATTTCACCACAAAAAGAAGAGCTCTCAAGCTTTAAAATGCTTTTTGAAAAATTCAAATCATACGATTAGGTAAGCCGTGGTGATTGTTTAAACATTTTCACAATTTTCACGCTTATAAGCAATTGCAATAATTTAATGTTTCTTTCGATTTTTTTTAATTTTAAAATATGGTTTGAAAGTACTCGGAAAGATGAGTATTTAAAAAAAACCTGATGATCCGCCCATTATTTTTGGAGTTATAGCCCGTTAAAGTTAACTCTTATTTACAGTAAAATTATAAGGGTATAAGGGCTGTTTTTTGAACTAATAGGTTTGTCATTCCAAGTACTTTCCAGATATAAATTTTCAAAATTTGCAATCACGGTCGTCCCATTTAAAATTTCACTCAAAGGTATTCAAGACCGCGTGAAGTCAATGAGGTATCAGTGGTGGGGGGAGCAAACACACAGCTACTCCGATCTGAATTCTCGAGTTCAAAATATGCTCTGAGTATTGCACCCATAGCCAAGGGCAAATATGTAAAAATGCTTACAAAACAGTGGAAGTAGACGAGTTCGAAATCGATTTTGAAGAAGACGTGTCAGAATAAAGTGCAAGTGAACTCGACAATCAGATTTCAGAGTCGTTAGAAAATGATATTTTGCAGTTGCAGGACAAGGAAATCGACGACGAAATAGATTGTGATAATACTGATGAGGCATGTGAAAAATCACCAACTAGTAAAAGAATTAGATTAGATTAAATGTAAATAAAAATTGAAATAAATAGTTTACAATTTGAAAAATCATGAAAAGTGTGTATTGTTTATTCAAGAATCCAAAAGGTTCTTTACTTTTTTATATAAATAAAAAATAAATCTTAGATAAATATTTTAAATGTAAACGAAAAAATTAAAATTATAATTATTCACAATTTATTGTTTTTGAAAGATTTTTAGAAATTTATCGTACAACTAAAAATGAATATCAATTTTCAGTTGTTTATATAAATAATTATTGTTTAAACAATTTTATAATATTTAAACAAATTTACTAGTATTACCTGGTGCAACATGCAAAAATTTTGGTCGTGAATATTAACATAGTAAATAAATAAACATAATAAATTAATCATTTTTTAAAGTAACTGTGTATCGACATGTCAAAAGTCCAATAATTAATAATAAAAGGTAGCTGAAAATAAGATAATTGAATTTTTTAAGTTGCGAGACATCGATTTAAAAAAAAATCATCGAAATTGGTCCATTAGAAGCTGAGATAAGTGAAATTTTTCCGAGCGTCGCAGTTTTGACTCGAGAAGTCAGATCGGAGTAGCTTTATATCTGCAAAGTACTCGCAATGACAAACCTATTAGTTAAAAAAACATCCCTTATACCATTATATGTTTTGCAGTAAATAAGGGTTAACTTTAACGGACTATAACTCCGAAAATAATGGGCGGATCATCAGGTTTTTTCTTAAATACTCGCCTTTCCGAGCACTTTCAAACCATATTTTAAAATAAAAAAATTGAAAAAACATTAAATTATTGCAATTGTTTATAAGCGTGAAAATTGTGAAAATGTTTAAACAATCACCACGGCTCATCTAATCGTCCGACTGGAATTTTTCAAAAAGCATTTTAAAGCTTGAGAGCTCTTCTTTTTGTGGTGAAATTTTCAAGTATTCAAAGGCTTTAGATTTTTAGAAAATTGATTTTGAAAATTTTTTAATTAAAAAAAAAAAATTTAAACAATTATTATGTAAAAACTATCGAACCGAATTGGATGTGGTGTGATGATTTTATACACCAAGAAGTTTAATTGGGAAAAGTATGAAGAACTAGCATTCTTTGCAATTTTTGAAATGATTTTTCGGATTTTTGCAATAACAATAATTATTTTTTCGAATTGCAACCAACTGTATCTTGTTGAAAATTTAATTACAAAACTTTTTTCTTCTTCCATTTATGTCTAAAACGAATAGTTGCTAAGTTGTCGACGAGAAATCCATTGCTATTTTTTTATACTTTCTTGCAATAACAATTAAGCCCACGTTTGTTTTTATTTGCATAGAAAAATTATCATTTCTGATGTTATTTAGAAGCCGTTAAAGCAAAAATCTCCGATCATACGTGTTTTACCCAAGTATACCCTTTTTAAAATAGATACCGCCTGGACTAAAGGCGGCGAGGGAGCGGCCGTCAGAGAGGACAATGCCAGAACCCACGATGAAGTAATTTATGTGTATTGCACAATTACATTACATAGTTTATGGAAATTAAATAGGTATCTTTTACGGTGTTCAAGATATCGGACTCTAGAATTTTAAAGGAAACACCCTGTATAATAATTAAGAATAAAATAAAATGTATTACATTGTAAGTTACTCCTAAGACGGAGTCTGCATCGAAGCGGTTGTTCACTTGCAGTTGTCCTGTGCACGTGTCAGTGTTGGATATAGCGAATATTGTTTCCTCTGAAAATAAAAGCAAGACAGTATGATAATGGTACAGTATAATGTGGAGCTTTCTTTATTCTTTGTACTTTTTTCGCATCTGATTAATGACTACTCACCTTCGGGTGATATTTGTTCAAAGGTAATGACTATGTCCCATTTTTCGCAGATGTCACTTTCTGAACTGTCACTAGCATAGAAGTCCTGAAGATACTCCGAGTCTTCTGTTCTGAATAAGATAAGTGGACTGAATGGAGTCTGCGCCTGGAATTTAATAAAAAAAATATTAAATGAACTTACATTACCGAGGATAAAATAAGAATACTGATTAAAGAAATGGTTTACTTTAAAAAAATAATTACTCACTGACAATAGCAAGACGCTCTTGCCATCTTCACTTGGATATATAAATCGTGGTGGTTCAAAGTTGAATTTCTCAACTTCTACCGTTATGGAATAATTGGCTACATTAGGTTGGTCCCCTCTATCGGCAACCTAAAAAGTTATAATCTTAAAAACTAAGAGACTAAGAGGCTATACAGGGTGATTCACAACTTATCCAAAAAAATTTGGGAATAGATGCGGCATGAGAAATGTCAATATTGTAAAAACAATTTTTGTAAAATCCTTATAGTTTCTGAGAAAAAAATTATTGAAGTTATAGCACATTAAACCACTATATAGCTGGACAACTGTAGTCTCTAGCGTCATTCGCAATACGCGTGGAGAGCGATGTGACTCCTAATACTGAAATCCGTCGTTGCGGTAGTTTTTACCTGTTATCTGTGGTATTTACATCAGTTTTTTAGTAGTTAGTGTCAAAAATGGCTTGCGTGTATAGCAACTCAGAGTTGAAGGATATCGTTTTAATTTATGGTGAGGCAAGACAACATTTGTATTATGGTGAAGTATTTGTGTTATGGTGAAGCAAGACATCATTGTGTTAGTTCGTAGAAAGTGAGTAAGACGGACCCAAATGTGTTTACACGTGAGTGGATAAAATTTTGAACAATTGCTGTTGCAGCATCGGGTATGTCAAATGATTTTATTATTTAAAAACACAAATTAATTTTATTAATTATTAATAAAGGCAAAAGTATTTGAATTTGCCGATATAAAATAGGTGCGATAAAATTCTATTTACATATTTCTTTCCTTGCGAAAGTTTTTGACCGTTTTTATGACGCCGCCATACCGGTCGCATTGTGCGAGGTCAGGTTTTACAGTGGACCAGTTTCCAGTGCTGTGCAGAAGTGTATTTTTAAATTTTGAACGGACCTTTTTGATTTTTTCTTTACAAAATTGTATTTGTAAGGGTCCCCTGTACATCCAGCATATTTTTTTTGGATAAGTTCTGAATCGCCCTGTATTTATAACCTGAACTTTGTTTTTTTATGGAATATTTCCAACGTATACTGCTATTTTTGTAAATAGACTACCTAACGCATATCACTATATATTATAAACCAAAGTCCTCCGCCGCGTCTGTCTGTTCGCGATAAACTCAAAAACTACCGCACCGATTTTCATGCTGTTTTCACCAATGGATAGAGTGGTTCTCGAGGAAGGATTTAGTATATAATTTGTTAAGCGATATTTGTTGGAGGTGTCGGAAAAAAATAAGCCGTCTGTGAGCTTTCAACGAAAACGCTGCCTAAACCCTTTGAGATATAACAAAATAATGTATGGTTGAATTGTGTATCTTATATAGGTCTACAGAAAAGTCCGCGATGGCACATGTCTATCTCTTAAGGATAACATACTATGTCCATTTTAATACTTTAAAAAATGGGCAATTATAAAGCGGTAATTGGAAAGCTATTTACACAAATATGGTATTAATCCTTATCATTTTAAATACGTTAGTTGGCTTGAGCATTTCATGAAGATTATTTTTTCCCTTTACACCATGCAAATTAAATGAATACCTTAGGAGATACACCAAAATCAAAATAATGCGCAACGAAATTAATTTCGTGTCGCCATGATACGACCGAGCCCGTGACCCCGAACCTTGCGTCCGAGCCGGGGGGGAGGGGGGCTCGAAAGTTTATGTAGTGTATCAATGTATGGTGGAATTGTGTATCTTCTATCTACAGAAAAATCTGCGATGGCGTATGTCTATATGTTAAAGATAACATACTACCTATATCCATTTTAATACTTTAAAAAATTGGCAATTATAAAGCGGTAATGTAAAAACTATTTACACAACTACGGTATTAATCCTTATCATTTTAAATAAGTTAGAGGCTTTAAGCATTTCATGCACATTATTTTACTCTTTTACACCATATAATTTAAATGAATATCTTAGGATATCTTAGCGAATGGAGGTGACAACTGACGACTGTGTTTTCTTTCTGGGTGTTGTTGGAAAGTTATAATTGCGTTCGATATTTTAAGGTCACATTTTTGTTTTGTATTTGTTGTCTTTAGGTAGTCGGAACATACATAGATACTTGCGAACACACTTTTATTTCATTGAGTTTTAATAATTTGTTTGTTTTTTTCTTATTGTGAATTATTTAAAACTTCATAGACGCATTTTTTTTCGTGTTTGTTTTCTTTAGGTAGTTAGATACCTAACTACTTACTTATTATTAAAATTGATAGTCCTGAACATAGGTACTTTAATTTAATTCGTTTTGTTTTCACATTGTTGGTAGTTACCTATATTGTTTTAAATTTAAAGGTTTTGCATTTTTAGTTTTAAGTTCGTTTGTTGTCTTTAGGTATATCGTGAATTATTTTAAAATTAATATTAGGGTCGCATTAGATGAAAGATGATTGATTTTTTGTTTGTTACGATTTAACTCAAAAGCTACACAAACAATTTTACCGAAAGATACATCTCCTCGGAGTAACATAGGCTATTTTATATTTGCCCGTGCGAAGCCGGGGCGGGTTGCTAGTTACAAATAAAATAATTTTATTATTATTAATAGTATTATTATTAACTTGCTTATTTTAAACGGAACACCCTATATATTATTGCAATTTGGGATTCTACGTGTTATTTTAGGTGGTTTTTGATGAAGTTTACCTATTCCTAAAATTAACCGTTTTCGAGATATTTAATTTTTTTCAAAAAAATGGAGAGAAACAGTGACTAGCTTCAAACCGTGTGAATTTAATAGTAAGAAAGATAAAGCAACAATATTTATAGGGGGAATAGCCAGACCTGTATGTTTTTCTATATTCTGATACACAATTTTATTCTGTTTCGAACAGTAATGTAGAGTATTTTGCCTGTACACTTTTCAAAATTTCGTTATTGTAATACTTTAAGTTTCATTTTATTATCGTTATTGTTATATATTTTTCTATTATTAAAATCGATTTAATCATACCTGAATTGCTACAGTATAAGTTCCAAATGCCCCTCTCAAATCTTGAGACGCAATCAGATTTGCCTGCTTATGAGTCAAATTCACACGGTAATTTTCATCTGTAGTAACATCAAACAAACCAGAACTATCTTCGTTATTGGAGTTTTCAATGCTTATGACTTCAAAATCTATTTCAGCGTTATCTCCCTCGTCTATATCTGTCGCTACTATTATTCCAATTATATCACCCTAAAACCAAATTGAAAATTATAAATTTACACTAATTTATATGTATTCTTGGAGGTACATAATTTTTCCCTCGGACAAACATTTTTTTTATATCAGACGATCCTAATAGTGCATAATCAAAATGGGATGTCACAGAGATTCTGTTACTGAAATTATTATCTAATTTAAATATTACCGAACGTACCTTTTCGACGTCTTCGGAAGTATCTAATGCCTCGGTCAAAACTTCTGGGGTATGGTCGTTAATATCCCTCAACCGAATTGTTATTGTTTTGGTTACAGAATTGGGGTTCCTGTCATCTATAAGAAATTGAGAATTTAGTCCTTGTTAGGTATAAACGTTTTATAAAACAAATTAGACAATCTATTTTTCATTTCCAAACTGTAGTTTGGTGAAACATAGAAAAGTAAGACAATTTTCTTCTATAAATCATAAACTTATTGTCTTACATAACAGTCCAGGTAGATTTTTTTAAATCAAATATTAGTTATATCTTTTATAAAATGAATGTTTAAATATTATTTATGATATGAGGATGTTAAAAAAATCAGTTTTCTTAGTTTGTAAGGCTTTTCCTCAATATAAGCAGTTATAATTTGAAACAAATTCACAGTTTGGCAAAATGTACTTACCTACTTAAACCAATTTAAATTTAAAAGTTGTCACCAACGAAATAACTTCATAGACAAAATAGTCATTTCTTTAGTTAGACATTGCCATCAAAGAGACTTCATCTGTTGATAATTTTAGTATTGGTTTGATTTAGTATTGATTAATAAATAAAATTTGACTAAAAAAAGTCATCTTTGGCTCCCTGATCTCAGAAATAAAAGAATTTGGAAGTATGGAACACAAGAAATATCGTCATATTATTCAACAAGTCTCCGAAATTATAGTACCTTTTTTTTCAAAACATCGAACACTATACCTTCGCTTGTTGGAAAATAATTTTTTTTTAAAAGGACAGAAAAGCTTTATTATTATTTTTTTACTTACATATGGTAGTTTCCATAAGGATTCAACGAACAAAAAAAAAATCGACCTCTTCGATTTTTTGTCATTTTGGGATGTTAGTCTACTTTGAATACTGTAAGACTCGTTTTTTATTTTTCCAAAAAAAATTTTTGGAGCTCTGTGGCACCATGTCAAAGTTTATATCGCGATAAAATGTAAATGCATATAAGTGGCCGTCATTTTGAGCCAAATCATTCTATCGAGGCTTTTTTTCAAAATGTGTCAAATTTTATCAGCTTTTAACTGTTTTTTTAGAATTAAAATTGCTTAAAAACTTTCTGAGATAAATGAGAAAAACGTAAAAAAAAATATTTTTCTTCAAAATTGATTTTTCCCAAAAACCAAAGGCCAAATAAGCTATCTTTTGGCCAAGATGCAATATGCCAACTTGCTCCGTCGGGAGATGCGATTTTTTTCAAGTGGCCTTGATTTTGACCCAAATCATCCTATCGAAACGTTTTTTGTTTTTCAAAATATGCAGAATTTTATCAACTTTCACTTGTTTTTTTCATAATTTAAATTGCTTTAAAACTTTCTGGGTAAAGGAGAAAAACGGTAAAAATATTTTTTTTGTCAAAATTGATTTTCTCAAAAGTCCCGCCTTTTATTTTGACTAAATTTGGATATGTTTTACAAGGCCAAATAAGCTATCTGTCTTTGCAAAATCCTATTTCCAGAAGGAAGCAAGTTAGCATATGGCCACTCAGCTAAAAGATAGTTTTCTTGGCTTTCAAAAACATATAAATTTCGTGAAAATAAAAGGTAGGGTTTTTGAGGAAATCAATTTTGAAAACAAAAAATAACTTTTTTCGTTTTTCTCATTTATCTCAGAAAGATTTAAAGCAATTTGAATTATGAAAGAGAAAACAGGTAAAAGCTGATGAAATTCTGCACATAAAAAAACGTTTCGACAGAATAATTTGGGTCAAAATGTCAAAATACATTTTTGTGCATTTAAACATATCCACAATTATAACACGAGTGATTTTTTTTGTAAAATAAAAAATTTAAACATTTTTCCTCTTTTCAACTCTATTCAGGGATATGCTATATGTGCTTTTTCTTGTTAAAATGACAAATTTGAGAGAATCTTCGTATATACTTACTTTGTAAAAGGTCTGGATTGTCTTGGCATGTCATAGGGCAACTGTAACTTGGATCTCCTTTATCTCTGTCTATATCGTCATGGCCATGTCTCACTAGTATTACATTATCGACAATTATAAATTTATCTGAGCACGTCTGTGTTCTATCCAAATTACACGCAACAGTGTGGAATGGAACTACAAAGGAACGTTTTAATTATATTTTTGTAAAACGGTAAGCGTTATTGCAATCAAATGATGGTAAAATATATTGTCTCTTCTCTATATTTCCTAAAAATTTATAAAATTAGCTGATAGGTCAATAGCGCTAGAAAGATTTATTTGTAGTGTGAATGTTCGTTTCACATTTTTCAAGTAAGCTGCCTTGAGCAAAAAGTGACATGTATCACGTTAACGAGTAGCTTAAGGGAGACAATATTTTCATTGAGCAAATTAAATATTTAACTTACTGTCTCTGTCATCGTCATGGGTGCCGACTTCAGCTACCTCTGTATTTGGATCGCTCTTCTCATCAACGTATACTGTTTCGTCAATTGTTATAGTAGGAACTTGGTTGTTCGTGTCGATTATATAAAAGGGGACCTAAATTATGAATAAAAGTTAGATAAATTATCGAATTTAACATTATTACATTACTTAGAAATAAAATAATTCGTTATAAAAATAGAAATTTTATTTAGTTTAGTACCGTTATAATTTTTTTGTTGAATAACACGAACTAAACACAAAAATATTTAGTTACATAGATCCTATGCCTAATAATTTTAAAAATATTTAAAAAAGAACTCTATCTTCTCTGTTTTATTTAGCAATAATAATTCTCATATATACCACCACAAAAAAATCTAAAGGAATAAGATTTGGTGACCGAGCATCAAATATATTAACTAATATTGAACACCTTGAAAAAGTACATGCAGGAGCTTCAATTTGTAGTAAAATTTTCTACGAAATCTTTTCCAATAGAATTAGTAAGATCGTAATTAAAAAGTCGAAATAAGTTTGTCCTTTAGTCATCTGGGAAGAATAAATGGCTCAATTAAATAATCTCCTGCGCAAGTCCATACATTAAAGAAAGTTTGTCTTAAACGTTCATAGCATCATGCGGAATATAGTCAATCCAGCATTCCATCGATAAGTATTATGAACATTAAAAATTCGGTCTTGTCGATAAATTGATTCTGCTTTTGTTTCTGAAAGATTTAGTTGTGTAGGTGTTTCTGGTAAATTGTGGCAACTATTTAACTCGCGCCTTGGTGGCAGACAACAGTTTGTTCAATAGAATTTAGTACATTATCTGGGTTTCCTCAGGGTTCAATTTTAGGTCAATTATTATTTAAAATTTACATTAATGATATCTTTTTGCCTTCTTCTTTGAAGATTCAACATATTTAATGAACTAGGAGTTAATTTTGATCTTCGACTCTCATGTAACGATCACATTAATGCAAATTTTAACACAAATATGCGATTCTAGAGAATCAATCAATTGTGCCCTAACTTGAACTACTACGAGTTTACTCTTCACATGTGAAGACATTTTTTAAAGCAAGTTTATTTTAAGTAAAATTGATTTGATCCCCATGTTGACTTATTATTAGCCGAGTACAAAGATAGACAGTTTCGACATTCGTCAACTTTGTCTGTCAATTCCAAAAATTGAGCACGTCGTGCCGCAGGGGTGGTCTTGAAAACATGTTTTTACAAAAAAATTACCTTAATAAAAGTTGTAGAGGATCAAATTCTGAACAACTTTTCCTTATATTTTTTTTGTGTTTTTCTAATACAAATTACAGCGCATTTATTTAGGTCCATTTCACGATCTGCATGAAAATCATCAACTCTCTTTAATCGTCCTCTTTTCCTGGAAGGCTCAGGTGAATTCATCTCTTCCTCGACGTCGTCCGGATCGATATTTGAACTATCATCCTGCGTGCGTGATGTACTGTTTTCAGGGTTGTCATCAATATCGTCACCATCGCAGTCATTTCCAAATTAAGATAGTGGCAATGGTTGTGCGTTATCGCCAAGTCTCGCCAGCGCAGTGTTTACACATTACGGTGCAGCACAAACCTGCTTTTCGGCAACAGGCTGCTCTACAGGGTGTACCGCATTGGCATGAAGTAAGGTTTAGGAGCTCTACTGGAGCTGGCTCTTTTTTGGTTCTGCAAGGCATCCAGCCTCATGAACTGATGCAGCCTATCAGCTAACACATGACAGCCTAACACCGCTTGCTCCACTTCCACTGTTGCCAACTTTTTGATAAACATTTTTACAAGACCGTCACAGCAGCGTGCGCATTTTTTTCCATATAATGCGCAGTAACTCGTTAAGTATTAGAGATACAAAAAAATTATAAGGAAAAGTTGTTCAGAATGTGATCCTCTACAACTTTTATGAAGGTCATTTTGCTCTAAAAAAATTTAATCGTTGTACAACACTTTTTTAGACGCTCTAAACAATTACTTACTATCATTGGTTCGGAAGTATGTGTATAACCATCATCACTAGCCGTACAAGAATAGTTGAAATAAAATGTTTTCTCCGTATCTGCATCTACCAGATTTGAGTCCTTCACAGTAAATGCTCCAGTTGCGTTATTGGCATCAATCCAGTCGAAGTTCGAATCAACTGGCCTATAAAACAATAGTTTATATTCATACACAATTAATTTGATATCATTTATTGGTTTATCCCTCATCATAGCAGATACTGTAATTATCTGGATTGTAATCGACATTCTCGAAGTTACTCTTGTATTTGATAAACATATTTGAAAAGATTTATGATTCACCTATGTCAATTAAGTACCATTAATAAGTATTACTTTACTTACGTGCAGTCGTACGTTACAGTGTCCCCAACGTCAAGATCAATTGCTACTATGGAACTGACAGATGTCCCTTTTGGTGCGAACTCTTGAACTGTTCTATTTTCTCTTTCGGATTCCGGCAAATTCGCCTCCGGGAAGTATGGAGTATTATCGTTTATGTCATTTATACTGATTAGTATGATCACTGAAAGGCATACAAAATGAAAGAATTCTCCAAATGCATCAGTCGTTAAAGAAACCGATTTTTAACATGTCTCACTTAAATATACAGTCATTTATTATTCAGCAGAATTTAGTAAACAATTTCCATTAAACAAAAGATAGAGACATATAGTCTCCCAACGTGAATTAGAAAATAAACCAATATGATTAAATTATTATTTATTGTACAATTTTTGAAGCAGACAAATAAGGAGTTTGGATCATACCTAGTTAGTGGTGTTTAAGTCTACAATGTTTGATGCTAATCCGAAGTGAAAGTGTCTATTAAATTTGTAATTAAGTACCTATTTATATTAACGAATTTGAACTGTAAAAGCTGTATATATGTATACAGGGTGATTCACAACTTATCCAAAAACATTTGGAAATATATACGGCATGAGAAATGAAGTCAATATCGTAAAAAAAAATTGTAAAATCCTTATAGTTTCCGAGAAAAAAATTATTGAAGTACTTTCAACTATTACATAGCTGGTCAACTGTAGTCTCTAGCGTCATTCGCAATACGCGTGGAGAGCCACGTGGCCTTAGCGATCCCGAGTACTGAAATCCGACTGCTTACAATAGTTTTTTAGTAGCTAGTTTTAAAAATGGCTTGCGTGTATAGCAACTCGGAGTTGATGGATATCGTTCTAATTTATGATGAAGCAAGACGACATTTGTATTATGGTGAAGCATTTGGGCTATGGTGAGGCAAGACAACATTTGTGTTAGTTCGTAGAAACTGAGTCGGGGGACAAAATTTTGAACAGTTGTTGTAACATCAGGTATGTCAAATTATTTTATTAATTAATAATAACAATAGCGGCAAAAGCAGTTGAATTTGCTGATATAAAATAGGTGCTATAAAATTCTATTTACCTATTTCTTTCCTTGCGAAATTCTTTCAAGTTTTTGTCCGTTTTTATCACACTGCCGCCATGCCGGTCGCATTGTGCGAGATCCGGTTCTACAGCGGACCAGTTTCCAGTGTCGTGCAGAAGTGTATTCTTAAATTATTTTCGAACTGCATTTTTTTATTCTTTATTTACAAAATTGTATGCGTAAGAGTCTCCTGTACTTCCAAAATTTTTTTTTGGATAAATTCTGAATCACCCTGTATAGAAGACTTGGGACCAGTAAGATATTTTTGTAATTCCCATTATGAAATTTAAATTACAGTAACGACAGCTTCTGTATGTGAATCATATGGCATTTTTAGATTATCAGCATAAAAAGATAATTTAGAGTACAGATATGCTCAATATTATATATAAATAATGAAAACAAAAGTGGGCTGGTGTATAAATCCTGTGGAACACGTGACATACATAACTATGAATAAATGTGAACAGTTATTGAATTTAACATCTGTTAGTGTATATTATTATACAGGGTGTTTCATTTCCGGTGTACCAAACGAACACAGTGATAGAGAAACTAATTTTGAGCAAAAAAGTTCATATCGACATGTCCGAAACCGTCCCCCGGTGGCGCTACGCCTCTGTAAAGGGGGTCATTAAGACACAAGCCAAGGTGTTGTCAAATTCGTCATTCTTTTTTCGAAAATCGAAATCCTTGACCATTTATACATAAAAAAGATATACTTGTTTCATATAGGGAAAATAGAATTCTAGGTTCTTTATAATTTTTAATATTTTCAGTAGAAGCATAAGAAGTTAAAATCGGCTATTTCTGGAAAACCGTTGCAAATATCGTAAATCAGCTCTAAGAAAGTTATATTTAAAATGTGATTTGTTGTATCTCGTACTAGTTAAATCAGATTGAATACTAAGACAAATTTCTATGCTTTTATTATGATTATTATTGGAATATAATCTCACCTGATGTGTTTTGTTTGTCCATGAACTCAGGATCAGTCATCCAATCCGTAACTTTCAAAGAGATGAATAATGAATCGAAGAGTTCGAAATCGGGAGTTGTCCCATTAGGATTATTTTCGTTTACTATTAAATCAATTGCTATGTCTCTATTAGTATCATCTGATTCATCCACTCTCCGATATTCCACATCTAAGAACCTATAAAACGATATATTCTTTATAATTAGAAACTAGGTCATTTTTAACGTAGAATATAATTTGTACATGTTTAAAAAGTTTGCTTATTCAAATTGACAGTTCGCAAATAATAAATTGATTAGTATTCAATCTATCTACTCACTTTACTTGCTGGCTAATTGTCTCATTATCCATATCCAGTCTTCGTGAATTTTTCATGACATAAGACGCATCCCAGTCTATCTCCGCTGACAACTCTGCGGTGGTATCCATATCTGAGGCCGTTATGCTTGAATTTAGAGCTGTACCCGGTTGTTGATTTTCATCAACGTTAATTGGGTCACCCTTAAAAAGAAATTTTATCATGTCGAAATATGATGAATGTGTACGTACTTATAGTTTTGGCTCCTCATCTGCCTTCAAAACATTTCAAAAAGCAACAGCAAATTTAATGTACTAAAGATACACTTAAATACTGTTTTTTTCTAACAGCTAACACCTTTACACTAACACACAGATTATGACTTAAGTCAAGAGGCACTTATGTATAGGCGTATTGGCAGATCTGAAGCTTCAGACACCATATGAAAGAGTTCCACAACAGTAAAGGGTGTTTGTAACATAAGGTGTATATGGTTATTCTAATAATAGCATGAAACTGATATTTTTATGAAAGGTAAAAGATTCAGATTAGTAATTTTTCATTATAAGTTGAGCGCCGTCATTGCTCGGGGTCATACAGTGGATATGGTAGTGTCAAACATTAAATTGTTGCCGAACTGGTATGTCGTCGATTTAGACTTCTTGAGACATACAGCTCTCTTTAGAAGAAATTCTGAAACTGGGGATGACATTGTCTGGTCGATATTTGCTCTATGCACTAGTTCATTGTTCATGCCACTGCTCTCTGTTAAAATTATTTCGATTTTATTGTATTTATATTGCTTATCTGCATGCTCCATATGTGACTTCTGCTCCACAATCGATGATTTCTCTTTTCTGGTGTTTTTTAGGCGATACAGATGATCTTCAAAAAACCTATTCCTATCGTCCTCGAGGGACCATAGACGCACGTCATTGTTTGTACAGTAGGAAGGTCTTTTCTTTTCTTTGATCTTAGGTATTGTACCAATAACTTAGAGCTGATTGTAAGTGATGTAGTTAATTCCTTGTCCAAATTTTCTGGCTTCTGGAAAGTGGTGGGTGCAATTAAGCTGCCGAAGATACTTTGTTTCTGGATTGAATGATGTTGAAACTCAGCATTTTAGATGCTTATCAGTGCGAACTGGCTCCAATCTTTGACCTAATCCTCAGTTTAAAAATGTCTTCCGAAGTTGAAACCGGATTGTCTGCCAAAAAGTAGTGACTATTCCGTAAATTGTTGAACTACTATAGAAGCCTGCAAACCAAGAGTTAAAACGTTACCTCACGGGATAGCATCCTTCCCTGTCAGTGTCAATACTTATAAAAATTTCCTTTTATGACAAATTGTTTGCTGTTACTTAGTGAAATAACCTCGTAAAGCTGTTTTTTTTTATTTCGGAAAATGTTTTAAGGAAAATAATCATTATAGACACAAATAAAGCAGGCTTATAAGAACCAAGAAATAATTATTTTTTACGTACACAAATGTATAACTTACCACAGATATAGTTGGTGCTTTGTTGTTGACATCGATTAAGTTTATGGTTAACGGTACAGTAGCGGTGTGGCCAACTTTATCAGTGGCTCTAACTTGGACGAATATCGGGTTAACTGTATCATAGTCAAATGCATTATCTGCACTCACATATATATTTCCTGTATCTGATTCGATTTCTAAAATTTGACTCGCATGTGTAGACGCAATTAGGCTGTGCCTGAAAATATAATAAAGCGTTAAAGATTTCACAGTTAATTGCTATTATTCTAAAGCTTTTTGCATTACTTCATGGCTTCCCCAGGATTCCCACATTGGACCATAATTTTTTTTTGGTATATATTAACGACGTCTTATTATATATTTGAAACATTAAAAATATAGAACGTAGTTGAAAAAATATATAGAAAGTTTAATGTTGTGTCGAATGTAACAGTTTCCTTAATGCAGAAAACTTTAATTACAACACAGCTACACAAAAAAGTATGGTTTTGACCAAACTAGTATATCCCATAGTATTTTGATGCGCTAATCCCAATCCACTGTGAGAATTGCGTAATACGTCACATTTTTTTTAACCCAAAAAATAGGTCAAAACAGCAAAAATAGACGAAGAAGTATAAAAAACAACAAAAAATGATTTTTCACATCTCTTACCATAGCTATGTGTAACTGGGCTCGCTGAATCCAAATCCGCCTTTAGAATACAGCACACCTCATTTTTTCTAACCTCAAAAGAATCGGCTAGAAATCGAGGTTTGCAAGAAATGAATAGAATCATGAAAAATTTGGTATGTGGGGTTTCAGATTAATGCTATATTAGATCTGTGAGGGTTTTTAGGTTCGCTAATAACGAATTTGAATTCAGAATTGCAAAATACGAGATGGCGGATCTAATATGGCGGACGAGATTTTCGAAAAATTAATAAATTAATCTCGGGGTTAATTGAATCCTGCGGGGTTTTGGGGGTTGCTGATCACGTATACGAACTCAGAATTGCAAATTCAACATGGTGGATTTTGTGGGTGAATGTATGCATATTCAGATGGATGGACAGGAATAGATGGACCTTTGAATGTATGGATCTTTGGATGTTAATATAACCTGACCAACTAAATCATACACAAAAGACAGTTCCTGATGAAGTTGCGAACCCCACACCTACCATAACCTGCTCATGTAAATTCTATGGAACATGAAGCTCCTAATCAAACTGCAAACTCCAGACCTAACAAAACCGACCTAACTAAATCCTATGCAATAGATTCGTTTTGTAAGATTTAGTTGAACAGGTTACGTAAGGTTTGAAGCTCGCAGCTTTATTAGTGCTTTTCGGTTGTGTCGCATTTATAAGCGCTTTTTATGTTTAGTTTGGGGTTCGCAGCTTCGTCAGGGCCCTTCTATTGCGCAGGATTTAGTTGGGAAGGGTATGATAGGTTTAGAGTTTGCACTTTGTCAGATGGCTGTTGCGTATGATTTATATGAGCAGGTTGTGTTAGGTTTGGGATTCGCAGGTCCGACATGGTCTTTCTGTTGTGTAGGATTTAGTGGGGCAGGTTATGTTAACATCCAAAGATCTATACATTCAAAGGTTCTTTCGTATTCGTGATCAGCAACCCTCATTTCTAAAGCTGAATTCGGATTCAGCGAGCCCAAGACTAAGAAATGTGAAAAATTAATTTTTTTGTTTTTTCTCATACTTCGTCAATTTTTGCTACTTTTTACCTTCTTTTTGAGGTTAGAGAAAAATGTGACGTGTTGGCGCAATTCTAACAGTGTGTTCGGATTCAGTGCGACAAAATACTGGAGGAAATACTAGTTTGATCAAAACCATGACACTTTTTTTTGTGGCAGTGTAATCGATTCCCTTAACACATATTATGTATACTTTATAGAGAATGGTAACTTACTCTAAAATTTTATCCTCTGCATCAAGATCCGTTGCCAAGATCTGTATTATAAATTCACCCTTTTTGGCAGTTTCGTTAATAGATACAGAATACTCGGTCTCCTCAAATTCAGGGGTTTCGTCATTGTAATCTATTAAAGTAATTTTTACCAATATACGATCTTCCTTGGTTGAGTCTAATACACCTCTTGTTAGAACCTATCAAAACAAATAGAATTTGTTAGAAGGAAAAATTGTGAAAATGTGTTACGGTTTATTTTTTAATTTAAAGTAAAATAAAAACAAAATAAATCGGACACTTTGTGTCGAGAATCAAATAAATAAACAGTAGTAATCCATATTATCTACTTAGTAAGCGGCAATACACGTTGTAGTAGTAGACATCGGCTAAATCTGTGGTCAAGCCGTGTGCCGCTCTATGCTCGCAATACACAATGCACACAAAAAACACGTGCCATACGCTCGACCAAGCTAAGCATAAAATTCACTCACACACGCATAAACGACAATGAAATTGACGGATTGTTCTCCGGCACGCTAGGCCGACAGGACAGGCTTTATGATGTCGCTACTCATCTATCGAATAAATTGATCGATGCGAAGCTTCGAATCAGAGGTAGACACGTACATGTAATTGTACAATGACGCTTATAGTGGGATTACTAAAATGTGAAGTAGTTGATGCTTCATCACCATCAGTAAAAATAGCATTTATTAAAAACTTCGACTATTTTAGACACGCGCCCATGACCTCGGTAAATGTTGAACGCCAGAGACGATTAACCGCAGAACGCTAAACACAACTGTTAATTATTTTCTACAATCGCTTTCCTTAGGAGTAAGAAATTATTATTTTGGGGGGAATCCATAAGTCAGATTTTTTATCATTTTCAGATTCAGCGGAAAATTTGACTAAAGATAGGTAGGTTGGCAAGTTAGGATTTTTTGAATTTTTGGGGTGAATTGAGGGTGTGTGAGGGAGAATCCATACGTTAGAAAATTGTATTTTTTTATCATATTCGGATTTAGCGAAAAATTTTACTAAAGATAAATTGTATAATATTTATGTAAACGTTTTTCGCTTATAACTTTTTTCTGTTCATTTCCACGAGAAAATAGTAAAATACTTTTTTTTTTCGTTTTCAAAAGACCTACAAAACTAGTCCTCCAGCGTCAAAAAATATTGATTAGATCAATAGTTATAAACAGAAGAAGTTTATTTATGATTTTTGAATTAAACATTTATAAACTGCGTTATTATTACCAGAACGTTTTGGCATCGCATCCTCTCATTCCTTATCATTGTCTAATAACTCACACGAAATCTGGAATCGGTAAGTTGAATAGTTTACAAGTTTTGGCTTTATAAACAAATTAACTAATTATTAGTCTGGACGATCCCGAACATCTTCCACAATCGCACTGATTTTTTTCATGGGAAATTTCATAATAGGACATTGAAACTTATCATTTTTTTATTAAATTTCAAATTTGCAACCCGGAAAAGTTTATATTTTTTAGCCTTAGCTGCAAAATGAAATATACGACGCACGCGCGTGATATAGTTATATGTTATACATATTCGTAAAGCTTATGAAAAGAGCTTTAAGTTAAAAAAAAATCGTCAAGCTTCGTTGAAAAACAGCGGAGTTACAGACTGACAAAGTTGACGGCCTATTGTTAAACCAAGTTGGTAGCGGCAAAAAAAATACTGTCATAACCGGCAACCCGAGTACATAAGAAATATTGTTAAAAGTCAGAGGATCGCTTGATTTTTCGGCGAGCCGTGGCACGGCGGAAGGGTGGGGGAAGCGAACTTCAGCGCCTCCGAAGAAAATGAAGATAATATTCATAGTTCTGCCGTTAAATAAGCGAAATTCGCTTGAAAATAATATATTTGACAAATTATTGTATGTATCTTTCCAATATTTTTGTATTTTTGTTCATTCAAATATCAAAACTAAACTGTCATCTATCATGCTATTGTCACAACCTACAATAAAATACAAAATACAGACAAATAATACTACATTTAGAGAATAATGCGTAGCTCCGTTGTAAAACAGAAGATTTGGACTTTTATCTAATTTAAGTTACAAAATACGAAACAATAGTTACTATAACTGTTAATTCTCATAATAGAACGCAGAATTAGTTTATGTCTGTACATGTACACACCTGAAAAAAAGTTGACTTTTCAACTACTGTTTAGAAATCACAGAAAAACAAAAAAGATACAATTAATCTTGGTTTTCCTTAACATTAAACATCATAGCTTTGTTGTCATAATATTTGTTTTCTAATGTATATGTTGTTAAGTTTAAAGTGAAGTAAAAATGAATCAACTGACTCCGAGATTTTGGAAATATTGCACCTGTTTATTTTCTTTTACCACATAAATTAAAGCAGACATAAAAAAATATTAGTCTTTTTACGGACTAGAATTATTTTCGAAAATCGTTTTGTTAATCTGCTTTAACACGGACACATCAATTTTATGGAAAATATATTCGCTGCTGCGAGCAACGATAAATGTAAAACATTATATCAATATTTCAAGCTTAGAGCATTTTTTAAATATTTCTCTGATACGTACCAGAAGTCGAAAAACATAACGTGTCAAAAAACTCTTAAAAGGTGCTCCGGATGGTATATATTTATCAACAAAGGTGATTCACAGAAAAATGTACCTGCTTATATATTTATTAATTACAGTTTTATTAAAGAGCTTATTTTAGGTGTCCCATGTCATTGGCATTATGGGATGTTGTCGAAAAAATAAACTTTACAGTCTCAAAATTTCACATGATAAAGGATTTACGCTCACTAGTATTAATTATACAGGTCGACAAAAAAATTAGATAGCTAGAAATAGATTTTGAGAATAGATGTGGTGAAACCAAATTTGAAAAGTAAAAAAATGTTTATAGTTTAGATTCTTTGTAATCGCAGGGACAAGCCTCTTCTATATTTAATATGCAGTTCTAATAAGTACTACTTTTGGTAAATATGAAGAATACCAACTCTATCCCGATTATAATCTAGATGACTGATTTCCTATGTATCTGGGTGCTGAATACGAATCTGATGTCCAACAGACGACCCTTTTTAGGACAAAAAAGACCGAAAACAGCCTAACCTGATCTCTGATGACTTGTGTCTTGTGTTTGTTGCGGTGGCGCGCGTGCCGGCCCGGCGCGGTCAGTTTCGTTTCGGTTGTATTGGTGCTGCCTGTCGCTCGCGATATTTGTGTGGTTGTAACTGTTATAAGTGCAATTATATTTCATTCGGGTTGTATGTGTGTTTCGCGCTATTATTTGAGAATTTGTGAGTGAAATCATATTTCTTGTGCTCCGTAACAAAAGTGTTTTTAGTGTTTTATTTGTGTGCCGTGTATGTGTTTCGGGCTGTTGTTTGTGAATCGTGAATGCTATTATATTTTCTGTGCTAGTGAAGTGAAGTTTTTTGTATTATTATTGCTCTGTTGCTGTTATATGGGGAAATGGAGGCGGTGCCCATATGTTCGCAAGCCGGATGTACTGCTGTGGGTACAAAAAAATCTGTATTAAGTTACAGAGAAAAAACGATAATATTAAATGTCTATAACGCTTTAGAAAAGGATAATCCCATGAAACTGAAGACTGGTTTGGTGGAAATGTGTTCTAGATATACTGGAGTAAGCGAATCGTCTGTTTTCAAAATTTTAAGAGAGAAGAAAAATGAAGGAGACATTAAGAAACCTAAAAAAGGGGATGGAAATAAGAAATTAATATTAAATGGAGATGAAAAAAATACAGTTTGGCGTACAGTATATAAATCATAGACTTTTTTATTTGGTTCATAATTTGTTAATATTTCTTGTTTGATAGAAAAATAACTTATTTTGTTCAGATTGATAGAGAATTGTTGTTAGTGTTTTCATTTGATAGAATCACATCATAGGATTTATATTTTGTTTTCATACTGTAAATATTTATAGTATATCTGTTTTTGCTTTGAAACTTCGTTCTCCTTATAAAAAAAGAATCTAATGGGGTGCGATGAAGGGATCAATTCACGTCTGGAACCCTGTTCCTACAAAAATCCCTTTATTCTCATAAACTATTTGTTTTAAATGCAATTTATTATAAATCCAATTCATTATTTAAATTCCACAAATGTACTACATTTCCCCCTATAAGCGCCACTGTTTATTGTTCCCTGCTTTACGATCAAGCTCGCCAGGTTAGTATCTGATGTATAACCGACCACTTCGTACACTCGATGCACCTGTCCGACTACAGCTAGTACCAGAACACAGTGCGTATGCAGCGGTATTTCAGATTTAACATTCAATTTCATTTTAAATTTGAAATGGTTCATCTTACGCCTCCTAAAAATGATGACACGATTTTCCTTTGATAAAAGGCCGACAATTTTTTGCTCTACTTTGCATCGAGTACGATCCTACTATAGTTAAGTCAGTTTAGGCTATTCTTAAAAAAACTACACGCTTGAGACTTTTCAATAGAATTGAGTTGTTGCCCTTTTTTTTGACGTCGGATTTATGTTGAGCGGTCAAAAATATATAAGAAAACACACCTTACACTTATTTTTTCAATATAATTGTATTTTTGCCCCTTTTCGCCCCTTTTTTGCTCTTAAAAAGTCCTCCCGCCAAGTTTGGACATCAGATTCCTCGGCACCCAAAAATACGTAGAAAATCAGTCATCTTTCAAATAGGGATAGAGTCGATATTCTTTTTATTTACCAAAGGACTTGTCCATGCGATTACAAAAAATCTAAACGAGGAAAATGTTTTTACTCTTCAAATTTGTTTCAGAACTTCTAAATCTATAAGACCTATATATCTTATCTAAAAACAAACAAAAAATGTCGGCCTCTTATTATTCCAGATGCAGAAGGAAATACAAGGGAGTTAACAATCACAGCCATACAAAAACTCCTTTTTTATTTGTGTGGCTGTGTCATTTTTAAGCTATGTCATATTGAAATAAATGTGTTTTATCATACTCACATTAAAACTAATGTCTATCCAACCGGGCAGCTCATAATCTATATAAGTAACATTCCTTACAGTAATTTGAAATTGCCCCGTCCTGTATCCAGCTGTTGGAACGATCATAAAAGCATCTGTATACGTTATCTCATTTTCCTCAAGATCTTCTAATTCCACTGAAAATTGTGCGTTTTCCCCCTGCACAGAAATAAATTGTTTACTACTTTAACACTGCTTTTAAACTTAGTCTTACCGTATCGATGTCTCTTATGAAAATCGTGAGATTCAAAGTTCCATCGGTGTTCTCTAGGAAACGCATTTCTGTAGATTTCTCAGTATCGTCGTCTACAGGGAAAGTTACATTATCGAATGAGGCGTCCATAATCCACCTTACCAAGGGCGGATTATTGTCTATGTCGAGGACGAAGAAAGTTATTGTCAACGATGTGTTCCAAATCGGATCGGGCACCTCGTATGCCACGATTCCAAATACATATGTAGAAATGTCATCTTTATCCCTATCGATTGGTTTCACGGATATCGTTCCATTGTTGTCGATGCTAATGTAATTGGCTGTAAAGTGAAGTAAGATTGTTATACACAATGGACTCATTTAGTATATCTTTATAGTTTATTTTCAGAAAATTATCATTGTTAATGTGAAAAAAAAAACATATTTGTTTCTCAATGCACGGAAGCCCGTCATATTACTTGTTAGCGGCTAGCCCACATACTTGATAGGAATCCTTATACAGGGTGATCCATTAAGAATGGACAATCTCTAAAGAGGAGAAGCTACACACCAAAATATAATATTGAGCTCAATATGCCTTATATAAATTTTACAGGTTTACAAGGTACAGAGTTGTCAAAGTTGGAATTTTAATTTGAGATTTCTCAATAAATTTGGATCAATTAATCAACTCGAAAATTTTTAATTTTAGTTTTTTTGTTATGAGAATTATGAATTTGGCATTATCTGTACAGGGAATTAGTTACACCCTGTTATTTCACTAAATCCCTTGGGACTTTTGTTTATTTCATCTAACTCTATTGGTTTTTGAGTCACTTGCATTTTAAACGTTCAATGTAATTTGCTTTTATAAAATTTTTATTCTTCTAAATTACATATGTGCGCGGTAACAACAACAAAGGCAACAAATTACAATGACAATCATTAACAAACGCTCAAAGTGCCCGCCTTCCAACTTAGTACTCTTTGCAATGCCCTTTCTTAAAGACCTTTGGATTTTAAATAAAAAGGAATTCATTTTTTCTTTGTAGACCATTTCCTTCATTTGTGACCATATTGAGAAGTCCAGGGGGCTTAAATCTAGATTTCTTGGTAACCCAACAAATTCACCTTCACGGCCAATCCACCAGATAATGCCAAATTCAGCATCAAATTCGTAATTCTTATACCAAAAAAAATTAAACTATCAATTTTCGAGTTGATACTGCTGAAAATTCTAAAATTATTGAGAAATTTCAAATTAAAATTCCAACTTTGAACACCCTGTATCTCGTAAACCTGCAATATTTGTATAAGGTATGTTAAGCTTAATCATCATATTTTGGAGTGTAGTATTTCCAGTTTTGAGATTGACATTCTCAATGAATCACAATATATCATTATCTGTAGCTGTGGAAGCATAGAAAAACAAACTAAACCTTATTGAAAGAGCAATGTCATTAGATAGTTTGATAAAGAAAAATACTTGATTTTTATAAAATACAAGGTGTTAAAGAACTTATGTCAAACATTTGAAGGCGTGAAAAAGGAGTAAAAACTAAGTTTACTGATGTCATAAACTTGTATCGGAAGTTCAAGGTCATAGAGAAAAAAGCTAATTATAAATGTGTTTAAAACTGTTTTGGAATTGCTGAAATACATGTATTTTATAACGGCGAGTACTAACCAAAAATTCTGTAGGTAACACTTTTTACGAGTTTGTAGGTTTCTTATAAGCCGGACTGTATTCAAAAGTCGGTTTGTAATACGCTGTTGTAGTGATTGCTGTGCTGTTTTTCGAGAGTACAATTAATAGTCGTAATTCCAAGTTTTCTTTTGAAAATGGTGCATTTATTTAGCAATCGCGAATAATATAGTATGCTCATAATTTATGGCGAAGCAAACGAATAGCTTGTCAAGTGTACCGTGCAAGATATCCTGAACGACGTGCCCCCGCACCGCGAACATTTGTTGCTGTAGCGCAAAGAGTTTTGGACACCGGTGAAGTACAACCGCGTCGAGGTAGCGACGGTGGCCCAGGGCGACGATGATTTTGAATCTTGTCGAAGAAGATCCGCATCGTAGCACCAGAAATATCTCACAGCAAGTAAATATTTTGCATCCTGTTGTATGGCGGACACTACGAGAAGCTCAGTTGTACTCATTTCATATTCAACGTGTTCAGGTGTTTACTCCTGAGGATTTTCCACTACGTCGAGGTTTTTGCGAATTGTTGCTTTAGGAACATGCAAGAAATCCTCAATTTACAGGGAAAATACTTGTTACAGATGAAGTATGTTTCAGTCGAAATGGTGTACGTAACGTCTACAACATTCACCACTGGACTATCGAAAATCCACACGAAATACGTCGCGGTGCCTTTCAGCAACAGTTTTCAGTGAACATGTGGGCTGGTATCATTAATGATACTTTAATAAGAATGTTGAGGTAAGTCAGATTTTAAAATTACGTTTTACTCAACACAATCCGTATATTTACCTCATTTTGACGTAATGGACATGTGCAAAAATATTTGATATAAGTTCATTAACACCCTGTATAATGGTAGACCCTGATGCAAGTAAAGAATAAGCGCCAAATGTAAAACGTTCAGGAAATGAAAAAGAATATTTTTTTTTAAGTTATTGCCACATCATTTGACCAAGTATAATATCGGCAAGACAAGTCCCAAGCATAAAAATATAACGCGTATGTGGTACAAGCAAGGGATAAGTGGCATGTAACTTATCCCATTCTAGTCTAGTCTATAGCACGGAGTAAGTGATTTTATCTTATAGTTTAGTTTCTATTAAACGCACAGATTCCATATTTGCATTTATCCCCTTCCTAAACCAGAGTTTTCTGTCGAAGTGCGTATTTTATTAAGAAAAAAGCGGTGAATAACTACTCGCACTCCGTCTCTTACTGCTGCGCAACGGTAACCATGACCACCGCTGTAAACACTACAAATTTAGAGGCGAGCTGCGAGGAACCCACGTATTCAGAGTTTGCAAACGAATTTTGGAAGTCGAGTCAAATTGACTGCACATTACAAAGTTCGTATTTCCTTTTTAATGTGTAAGGCTAATCTACTTAATTATCTACATTGTAAACTAAATTAAATTTTTTTACTAATAAAATTTCTGCACCAGCCGCCACTGTATGTTACTCTAATCTACAGTTACATTTAAAAATCATTTATTGTATTTTATAAATAATTTGACTTACCTTCCTCGTCATCTTCCCATAGTACCATGTAGTTTATTTCATAATTTAATCCATAATCTCCGTCTATAGCTGTTACTGTGAAAGTCTGAAAATTTTTTTATTGAGCCCTTTAGTCTTTAATATTAAAATTTCTCACTTTTCGCAAAAGATAACGATGTAACGATCAATTGAATTTATGTATTTATTCATTGGCAAAATCCAATACATTTGAGATGATCAAAATCATTAATTGTATAGCTGCTGTCATCACAGTAAAATGTTAGATTCCACTATAGCTCTGTTTCCTTTGAAGATAGTGAAAAAGTCAAATTTGCTTTGTTAACAAATTTTTTCCAGAAGGATTAAAAACTAGAATTCCTCATGGAGTCAATAAAGCAATGTTACTTTTCGTATACCTTCAAATTCAACAAAATTACTGTGGAATCTAACATTTTTGCGTCATGACTGTAATGTCGGGTTAAATTTTGAATACAATACTAAAGATATGACTTTTATTATTTTATTTATCCGACACTGATGATAACTTACTTGTTCTGATTGCTCATAGAACTGCTCGGACGTGAAGAAACTTGTCCATTCTGGAGGAGTATCAGGTAAATCGTTTACATTTATTATAGCCCTCACCAACTCGCTCGGTGTGGTAGAGTGACCAGCTCCATCCTAGACAGTATTAGGTAAATAAAGTCAAATAAAATTTTTCTTTTAAATCAGTTCCACCAAATTATTTCCGATTGAACAGGATGTTTGTTTCATTTTTTCTGGCCCTTAATTTAATTTTAACAAAACTAAGTGCAGTAACGTCCAGAAGAAACGGGGTACTCTATATTGTTGAAAATTATTCTAAATTTAATGGCATGGTAGAGTTTTTGCCCAAAATGGGAATTTAAGAAAATATAAGTTTACTAAATATCGACGCTTCGTATCTTTATTGAAATGTCTTCAGGATCTTAACAAAAAGAAACGTTTTAACGTTTTGCTATTGTTTAAGAGTTTTGGCGATATTTCTAGAATTAGATAAATATTGAGAAAATTTCAGTTACCTTAAATTCCCATATTACCAGACATTCCACCAAACTACTAACTTTAGTATTTGGTTACTAACAAATTTGAACTGTGAAGAAACAGATTTAGGCCCGTTGAAATTGTTTTTATTATTCTTACCTCTGCTCTGACGTCAAATAAGTAGAATGTTATATTCTGATAATTGAGTTCTTCCAAAACTGTAATATACACGTTTGCAGAATAAATGTTATCCTCAGGAATTTCCCGATATTCGAAATCAAATAAGTACGGTGCATCCTATGAAACAGAAAAAAAGTTAAAGCAATAATATACAGGGTGTAACTTTGAGTGGGGCTCATATTTATACAGAGGCTTCCTGTAATCCTTAGAAACATGTATCAATACTTTATTTTTTCAAATTCCGTCATAAAAACTTATCTTTTTAACCTTTTTTTAGTAATTTTCGTACCCCGCCGCTGGAGAAGCTAGTGTAACCTCAAATAACGGCTTTAGTCGCAGCGTATACACAATTCCACACAATTCGCTGCGAGTTACTTTTAACAAAATACTTAAGCAGTAATCAATAATGATAAATGAAATACACAGAAATTATGTTGATGGCTTCCAACGATGAAAACCATTCAAATTCACAGTTAGACGTACTATCTCCAAATGCGGAACAACTGACGCCCTTCTCTTCGTCACCGTTGACCCGCACTATCTCCCTTCACATGCACTCTAGGTTGCCTACAATTCATGTACCTATTTGTAATACATGAATATTAGAGTGGCGGCGTACACAAGTCAAAAAGTGCATTTTAAAAAACCCATTATAACTGGACTAATTATTTGATTAAAAAAAAAGAATTTCAGATTCGTATTCAGGGGAACATGTACTTACCCCTAAAAAAACTGACCTCCCTTAAAATTATACCCTGTATTATTAAATATTTCAGTCTAAGGCAAAACAGACTTCAAATAATGTAAATGCGAAACACTTACGTTAGTATCGTTGACGATTTCAAATGTCATCTGGTCTAACCAACCATCTGGGTCTGAGACTATACTAAAGCAGGTGCTGTTGTCTTTTGTATAAATTGTATTCTCCTAAAAAAGAGATGGTTTCTAATATAATACATTTCTCATGCATATATGTCACTGTAATCTTTAGCAAAAAAATATACGTAAAATGTAACCTTTTGGGTATTGGAAATATACAGGGTGATCCATTAACGGTATCGAGCGGCTGTATATAAAAAACTAGACGTGCTACGATTATGGGGTAAAAAATCTATTAACAAATACCACCAAAAGAAATTGATTTAAAATATTTTCAAGTTTGTAACTTCACTGCTAGGGGGCGCAACTGCTATAGTGTTACAGAAAATTTTCGATTTTTCGAAATTTCGCTTATATAACCTAAGTTGCAAATACATTTATTAGATACACTGTTAAACCCTTCATAAGTTTTTTTTGAACTTTTCTTTTGTTATTACCATAGCAACGTCAGTATGAAGGACGCTATCTTGAAATTTTTAAATTGTCATAACTTCTAAATGCCTTAATCGATTTCAATAAACGGTGACTCATTTTAAAGAACTATTAATACAATTTATTTTTATGATATAGGAATGAAAATATTATTTTCCTGCGCAACGGTAGACTACGCTATTGAGAAAAGTTTTGTAATTGTCTCCGTTTACTAAAAAAATTAAATGCAACGATATAGGTTTTTTTTCATGGCTTGATAGACCATTCATTATGGAAAACAAATACACAAACCAGAGATCGATATCTTTTTTCGTTTTCAAGTTATTGCTAAAATAGTGAGGTTGTGCTAGATGCTAGAACATCCTCCTTTATTTAGTTCCCTAAATAACATTGACATAATCCAAGCCAAAAATAAATTGTAAAACTATACCAATTTTGTCCTTAAAAAGAATTATTGCTTTATTTTGATTTTTTTTTGATAACTGCAATGTTTAATTTTTTTGTTAATTCCAAATATCTGAGTAGTTATAAAGATTATTGTTTCCATAACGAGGCAGGCTATGCCTTATGAAAATAAACAAAACTGAAAAATTATGCCAAAATTAGTGTTATTTGTGTTGGAAAAGTACTTGTGAACAAAGAAAATGCTCTTTTCCAAATGTGGAAGCGTATATATGTTGGTAGTTTATTTTCAATGTTTGAAAAATGCCGTTATAGCTTCAAGAGAAAACGCTTTGCGATACCCTCGTAGAATACGTTACTCGAGAGAAATATTTCAGCGTTTATCCAGACGCCACTACATTCTTTAAGAAGACATCACCGTGCAAAAACGGGAGACAATATTATTAATATGTTGGCTTGTGTCCATGTAAATCCCCAAATAAGTCTAAGGGAATTAGTTAGAGACCTGGGAATTTCATATCGAACACAAGTACTTTTCTCACACTAATGACACTAATTTTGCACGAAGCAAGAGCTGTCACATATCGTTTGACATAAATTTTTATTTGTCTATTTTCATAGGACATAGCCTCCTTCGTTATGGAAACAATAATCTTTATAACTACTCAGATATTTGGAATTAATAAAAAAAATGAAATATTGCAGTTACCAAAAATTTTCAAAATAAAGCAATAATTCTTTTTAAGGACAAGATTGGTATACTTTTACAATTTAATTTTGGCTTGGATTATGTCGATGTTATTTAGAGAACTAAATATAGGAGGATTTTCTAGCACAACCTCACTATTTTAGCAATAACTTGAAAACGAAAAATGATATCGACCTCCGGTTTGTGTATTTGTTTTCCATAATGAATGGTCTATCAAACCATGAAAAAAAAACCTATATCATTGAATTTAATTTTTTTATTAAACGGAGACAATTACTCAGCGTCGTCTACCGTTACGCAGGAAAATAATTTTTTCATTCCTATATCATAAAAATACATTTTATTAATAGTTCTTTAAAGTGAGCCATCGTTTATTGAAATCGATTAAGGCATTTAGAAGTTATGACAATTTAAAAATTTTAAGATAGCGTCCTTCATACTGACGTTGCTACGGTAATAACAAAAAAAAAGTTCAAACAAAACTTGTGAAGGGTTTAACAGTGTATCTGAAAAATGTATTTTCAACTTAGGTTATATAAGCGAAATTTCGAAAAACCGACAATTTTCTGTAACACTATAGCAGTTGCGCCCTCTAGCGGTGAAGTTACATACTTGAAAATATTTGAAATCAATTCTTTTGGTCGCATTTGTTAATAGATTTTTTACCCCATAATCGTAGCACGTCTAGTTTCATATATACAGCCGCTCGATACCATTAATGGATCACCCTGTATAAAATTTAAAAATCTAAATAATCCTCGTTTTGACACAAGATTCCGGAAGGCGTTGTTTTTAATAAAATCTGTTACTTCATTATGGCAGAAACAAATAATAATACAATTTTTTTACTTGTTCCGTAAGTAAAAACTTACGTCAAATGAGCATTGCGGTGGAGACAACGAGGGTTGTTCGTCATCTATATTAATTATAGTAAAATTAACTACTGGACTAAAGTCCAAATTCAGCCAAACGTTGAACAGGTACTGGGAGGGCTGAGTCTCGTAGTCAAAAGACTGAGTCGCATAAAATATATAAGATGATGCTTCCTCTTCGTTTTCCAGCACAGAATATTGGAAGGACGTAGAGACAAAACTGACTGTTGGCACAACATTTGCTAAAAAAAAAGGTTGCAATTAATTACTTACACCTATTAATATTATAATTACATAAGAGATTAATTCGAAAAAATCAAAATTAAAGTTTTTAAGACCAAAATACATTTCACAGAATAAGTATCGTTTACACAGACCCACAAAAAATGTTCTATACCAGAGAAATGAGTACAAATATCTTGTAAGTATACAGTATGTCCGCGGTTAGGGTGAATAAGAGGAAAAACTTTTTTATTTTACATTTTACGGAAAAAGGCACACTTGATAAAAAGTATTGTTTGAATTTAAAATGAGGTTGCCATGGTGAAACTTAACCTTACATATACGGGGTGTCCAGAAGATAAAAAAATCTGAAAATGTCACGAGAGTAAACTACCTTTATTTTTAATATTTCTGGAAAGTGATATTTTGTAAAAGTCGTGCAAAAAGTAACTTGAATTTTTAAATACATAAAACAATTCGCACACAAAATTGGTTTATTTTTTACGGAGCATAATAAATTTGGAAAAAATAAGTATATATAATAAAACATTATCCGAACACTCCTCCGCCAATGTTCACACAAATTTGAAGGCGTGCAAGGAATTCATTGTAGCTGCGTATAATCTCTTCTAAAGGTATGGACTGTACAGCATCTCTAATTCGTTATTTTAGCTGCTCGATGTTATTGTCCAAAGGCCAGCTATAACAATCTGTTTTGACCTTGAAGTAAATTATCAAGGTCATTTCAAGGTCAAGGTTGATTTTTTTAATGGAAACCCATATTTTTTATTGCAAACTTGTATTCTGCGGGAAAAAATACGTAACTTTGTATGAATTTTTTTTTTTGAACATGCTTCGTTCTCGCCAGAGTGCGCTATACTTTTACCGTTCCATTTCCAATTCTCAGGCTAAAATCTCAAGAAATAAGCCTGATGGTGAAAAATATTTCGAACAAAAGTTGTCAGGTTTCGGGGGGATCAAATTACCGTGACCTTAAAATTAACCTTAAAGTCAATTATCAGGGTCATTTCAGAGTCAACCTTGATTTTTTAAATAGGAACCCATATTTTTACTTAGTTGAGATATTAGCCTGAGAATTAAAATGGAATAGTAAACGCACTCTAGCGAGAGAACGACGAATTTTCAAAAAAATGTTATGTATTTTTTCCCACAGAATACGAAACTGTAACAAAAATACGGGGTCAAAGTCAAGGACACCATAATTTGACCCCCTCGAAATCTGATAACTTTTGTTCGAAATATTTTTTTATAAATGTCGAATTAAAAAAGATTATGCGGCCTGGTATATTAAAATGGTACACCCTGTATATTTGGTAGTATAAAATACTATGGTTTTTCATATTCTTTTGCACTAACATTCGTTATTTGATCTTAGACGTGGAATTATCCCAACACTTAAAATACTATTTTATAATATTTTCTCAAAGTATTTACAAATTGTTACTTTTCATTATAAAGCTTTTCCTTATGATCACTATTTCACCCTATTTTGGGAATTATTTTATCGTTTTGCTAAAAACTGCCCTGGTAAATCTGTTTTTGAGCTGCGGATTCGGATTATGCATAAAAAAATACACAAGATACATATACAGGCTTTTATAAATTCGCTTCTAACTTCTGGGATATCGAAAATGGTAAGAGATACAAACTAGCTTAAATAGGGGCAAAGTTGCGTAATCAGGGGACCAACATTATGCCTCTAAAAAATCAAGGCTAACATGATTAGTTTTCGAAATATAAAACAAAAAACGAAATTTTGGAACTCCGGTTGTTTCATTTCAGCCTTGTTTGAGGTGATATTGAAAAAAGAAGAACACTTTCTCATGGTCACTTTCGAATGGCATAATCAATTTTTATATGTAACGTTTCGTCTCTTTAGGACCATCACCAACTTCATTTTTTTAAATACGACCCTGGATATTTTATTACATTTTTTGCAAGCCTTTATGTCCCCCAAATACTATACTGTCTCAGCCCGAATCAGATTCAGACGTTTTGTCTTTAGATTTCTTTGTTTATCAAATTATCGTACACTGTAAGTAACACCCTGTGAAATTCATCTAGTTATTCAAACTATTACCACCACGCATTAAAATAGAACATTATTATAGGTTTATTCCCGTGTCCATGGTTATTTCTAGGCTTCTCGAGTGCTCAAAATTCAAACAACTTCCGATCCGATTTTTTTCAGGATATTCACACAAATACACCTGACATGCTCTTTCACAGTTGCGGTTATAGATATAATAAATTCCCATAATATTACACTGATCTTTATTTTCAATCTTTGCCAAAACGAAAATGTTTTTGAACATTTACAGAAATTTTTTAAAGAATAATATTCATTTGGCGTTTTGGTTGTTCATATGCATTTTTAAGAATTATAAATTTGTCATAATAAAATTAAAATTGTAATGTTTTAATTTTGACGCAACAACTTATTGATTTATGTATGACCAAGTGATGGTAATAGTTAATAATAAAATAATAAATGTTTTATTGTAACGCGTGGTGGTAATACTTTAAATAACTATATGGATTTCACAGGATGTAATGACACTTACAGTGTACGATAATTCAATAAACAAGGCTGAAATGAAACAAAAACGGATTTCCAAAATTTCGGTTTTTTTCAAATATTTCGAAAAATAATCATGTTAGCCTTGATTCTTTAGAGGCATAATTTTCGTCTCCTGATTACGCAACTTTGCCTCCATTTAAGCTAGTTTTTATCTCTTACCGTTTTCAAGATCCCTGTAGTGAGAAGCGAATTTGTAACAGCCTGAATACAGGGTGATTCAGTCATAATGTTATTAATTTTAAGAGCAGATAGAGAAAAATGAGTATAATACGATGGTGTGATTAAAAAAAAATTAAATGCATATTTAAATGAAAAAAATTTTTTCAAATCATTATTTAACCCCTTTTTAGGCTGTTACTGACCGGCTGACGTCAGCCGGCTACGATATGAACAAAGCGACCTAGATGCAATGTTGCCATATTTATATATTTTCGCACATATAAAGACAATAAATACACGGTTTGCCCACGTCAGCCAATAATAATTTAAAATGCTATAAATTATTTTTTTATAATTATGCAATCAACATATTAAATTGTTATTGTTGCCCAGCAAGAACCTCGAGAAGGTCTGAGTATGACTTGCCAAAAATTATTTTTTATTATGTAAGCAAATTTTGCGAAGTCAACCTTGACGGCGCCTGAACGCGCGAATGTTTTGTCTACGAGACTGAGATGGCGGGTGATCGGAGAGCATTGGAAAATATAGGGAGTAGTCTTGACTCACGAGCGGTAGGCGCAAGAGTTAATAAAGTATTATTGATTATAAATCAAGTGACTATTATTTACATCATTTCCAAGTTATTTCTTACAATTCAGAAGTGGGATTATAACCAGTGCCCTTACGGAACTTGTCAAGTTACTAGTACAGTTTAATCATGAGCGATAGTGAAGTTATGAGATACACCCCGGAGGGTGAGCCTTCCACGTCTGGAAATCAAAATCATCCTTCTAAATCATCGTCGAAGACTCGAAAGCTAATGAGAAAAAAAAAATAGTCCCAGTTCATCGAATAGTAGTTCGTCAAGTTATTCAAGTTCCTCCAGTGCATCCAGTAGTTCTAAAAAGGAGAAGTTCAAAAGACGGCGAGACAAAAAGAGAAGGACCCAGAGAAAAAGAGTAAAACAGCTGCAAGTGTATTATCTTGGTGTGGACGAGAAGGTCATAGGTACCAATATTTGATCCTCGACAGGATACATTATCGGTAGAGCAATGGGTTTTGCGAGTAGAATAACTGGCGGAACATTACCAGTGGCATCCGTCAACCATAATTAAATTTGCCGCGGCCAAGTTGACAGGTATGGCAAGAAGATGGTATGATGTGCAGCTACTAACAAAAACTTGGAGGCATATGAAGAAGTTACTAGTGAAGCAATTTCATAAGCCACTGCCATTTGCCAAACTCTTGAAAGACGCCGCATTGTATGAAGCGACGACCGAACAGGATTTGGCGGAATATTGTTTTACTAAGTTGGAGAAATTAAGAGCCTTGCAACTACCCATACCAGAGGTAAACCTAATTGACGCCATCATTGGGGGAATACCCGATCAAAATGTGGCTAGGGCTGCTCGATCATCTAGGTTTACTTCCACCAACGAGGTATACTCCTTCCTAAGTACGATGGGGAAAATGCCAATGAGAAGAGCGGAAGTGAGAACAAGAAGTGCGGGTGAAACAGATAGAGAGAGGGTCCCTATTAGATGTTTCAATTGTCAAGGCACTCATCGTGTGGCAGATTGTCCAAGGCCGAAAGTGGAGTGTTTTGGGTGTGGCCGATTAGGACATAGACGTAACAGATGTCCGGAACGAGATATCAATACCAAGGACACAAAATCCTGACTAAGCGGAGAGCCGGAATGTAGTGTAAATAGTCCGGTGGTCACGAAAATAAACATATGTGGCAAGGATATTGATTGTTTAGTAGATACGGGAAGTTCTAAAACATTGATCAAAGACAATTTGTGCCAAAGACTTGGTTTGTTGATTGAAGAACGGGTTACTGTATTGCGGGGTTTTGCAGGCGACGAAATAACAAGTAGTCGGGTGGCAATGATGCACGTGCGTATCGGTGAACTACCTGTTGACATTTGTGCGGTAATAGTGAAAGACTCGGAAATGCCTTATGACTGTATAATCGGTTGTGACTCGTTGAATTTGCCGACTATCACATTAGTCAAAACAGGAACAGATGTTAGTGTTCGATTAGTAGAACCAAAACAAACAATTTACACAACAAGTGAAATAACCAGCAATGTAATTCGCCGAGGTGGCTGGGCCGACTGGGCCAAGGTAATGTTAATGTTTGCCAGAGGGGCGGGCCGACTGGGCCAATGTAAATCGCCGAGGTGGCTGGGCCGACTGGGCCAAGGTAATGTTAATGTTTGCCAGAGGGGCGGGCCGACTGGGCCAATGTAAATCGCCGAGGTGGCTGGGCCGACTGGGCCAAAGTAATGTTAGTTAGTGAGGGATGAGACGCCAAGGCCGGCTGGACAAGTATGTCTTCAAGAATGAAGGCCAAAGACGAGGACGCCAGAAAATGCAGGATGGCCGAGTGTAAGCAAATTTTGCGAAGTCAACCTTGACGGCGCCTGAACGCGCGAATGTTTTGTCTACGAGACTGAGAGAGCGGGTGATCGGAGAGCATTGGAAAATATAGGGAGTAGTCTTGACTCACGAGCGGTAGGCGCAAGAGTTAATAAAGTATTATTGATTATAAATCAAGTGACTATTATTTACATCATTTCCAAGTTATTTCTTACAATTAACATCATAGTGATAATTTTTTAATTTGCTGTAAGCCTTCTACTAAAAATTGAAAGTAACGCGGTCCATTCAGATGTACAGGTAGAAAATGCGGCCAAATTAAACGATAGCCATATACTCCTGTCCATACATTGACACCCAACCTCCTCTGAAAGCTAAACCGACGAGTAATGTGCGGGTTTTTATCTGACCAAATGTGACTATTATGGCTGCAAAGAAATTAGCTCTGTTTCACTTTAATTAAAATTTAATATTGAAATTACAATACCCCAAGAGTTCAAATAATTTAAATTTCATTTCATAACCATTTCAATTTCATTACAGAAATAATGACATAAAAAACCAACACTCACCAGATAAATTATAAAGAGAGGGTGAAATGTATGTAGTATTTAAATATTGACTAATTAATAGAAGATAAAAATACAATCGGACGGAGACAATTAAACAACTCGGTACGGTCGTGTTTCCGACCTAGGTTAACCTGTGTCGAGGTCAATAACCTTCTAATTTGCACGTGTGCACTTTAGTAAGATCGTATTCCATGCAAAGTAGAGCAAAAAGTTGTCGGTCATTTATCAAAGGAAAATCGTGTCATCAATGAATAGGGATGATTGTTTTCGAATGTACGGTTATTACAATTTATCATTTTTAATATTATTAACGTTTTCAGTTTATTATTCAATATGCAGTTGCGTATAACCAAAGTTTACATAATAAATGTAAACTTTAGTGTAAATCTAAACTTTGGTGTAACCTAGGTATTGTTTTTTACCTGTTTAAAATGCCAGCACGAGTAAAACAGCATTCATCCGTCCAGAACACTTTGTTAATAAAATTCTGTTGCAAATCAGCTGCTTCTCAAGCTTGAACTTTTTGAAAATGTGTTATGTTAACTCCTTTGCGGGAAAAATGCGGGAGATATGGAGGGTGGTAGATTTGAATAAACGCTTTAAATTGTTAGTTAATGGTTCTGTAACCGTGTGTAGTGTATTTTATATATTCGGGTATTTAGTGTTCCGACTTTTTTTATTTGATAAAATACAGTGTGCCTACAAACCTCTGCTTTATTTATTTTCTTTTAACGAAAGTTGACTTCGAGAAGTCAGGCTTGTTAAAACATTTTGCACTAAATTATTAAAATTAGTTATAATAAAATGCAGCATGATCCTTTATTTACTTGCATTTTATTGGTTTCATACATATGTATCCGTATACTAAAGCGGATTAATTAAATGTGAACACAGATTATGATGTGAACTTGGCAACGCTGTTCGCTTCAGCTGACGATTTGTTCGTGACATTACGTTACGAAATTTTCCGAGCATTCGGGCATCTAGCAGGGCCGCCTTCTTAGCGGGAGTTACGGGTTGATATCCTTCATTTTTAAAAGTCGAGAAAAAATTTTTTTTTCCGATTTTCTGTCTTTATTAAGTCTTCCGAATACGTGATTAAAATTAATGACATTATGACTGAATCACCCTGTATACTCATGTCCCTGGTACAGAACATTTTTTTTGTGAGGCTATGTTATTTTGGCTGTAGCGGTACGGTTCATCATGTAGCTACCTAATTTTTACCCGTTCCTTGGAAAAATATATTTACTTACCGTCAACAATTTTGAAAAGAGGTACTAGCACCTGATCACCAGCATCAAAATCGTGGTTATTTTCATTCATCGAAACCGTATAGATGGTGCCTGCTTCATTCGGCGCTACAGTGACATCATCATTTATTGCCACTATTACGTCATCACAGTTTACTGTAACAATTTTTGATTGTTTTATTAGATACAGACAACGCAATTTATAAAATCAGTAGATATACAGGATGAGTTAGGAGCATCGCATCAAACTCTACGAATGAATTCTACACGTCAAAGTAGTAGATGGAAACTAAAATGTTGTTATGTGATTTTAATTGCTTTCAGGTTAAGTATGGCCTAATTACAAATTTTAAAAATTTGCAATCAGAGTATGTTATGTTCCAAGTTAAAAAAGAGGATATTGTCATTACCATTTTAGGTTTCAATGAATTAACATTTGATTGCTAACTTATTCAAATTTAGAGTATGCAAATGTGGTTGTTTATGGTTTTTGTAATGGTATTGCTAATGCTGCTGCTGAAGAACATCGTCAACGGTTTCCACATCATAGCATAACTTTCATTTTAGGGAATCAATTCATAGGAGACCACTACTTAATTTTTTTAATAAATAAATTACCTACTAGTACTACTAGAGGATGTTCCTGTAAACATGAAGATGCTACCAGCAAGACGGAGCTCCTGCACATTTCGCTCGTCCAGTCAAGCTACATTTTAACGAAAATCCGCATAACAATATTTGAGTTTTTTCTTATTTTTGAAGTAGAATCCATCCTGGAGTTTGGTGCGAGTCACGCGATTCACCCTGTATATACTTAATAATGTTATTTGTGATTTTTGAGGCATTACTAAGATTAGGTACTGGAACATTTTATCTTAATTACTTATTTTAAATTTTATGGTAATACCTACAATCTACTAGTTATTAAAACATTAAACCAGGCGGGATCTGTTTTGATGTAAATGTTTTATATAGTATCGCTAATTTTTGCTTTAATGGGTTCAAAATGATATAACAAAACATAATTTCACTATGCGCGCGCTTCAAAATGTGTGCTATGTTAGTAGTAGTAGTAAAGGGGGCAGCCTCAGCCTGGCAATTAGGCCACAAGTGGGCCCTTTTTGCCTACCCCGCCGTCCCATCACCTAACCACTCTCAGCCTACCCGACGCCCTAAACGTGTGCTAAATTTATTATTAAACAAATAGTGAAAAAATTGGAAAAAAATCAATTTTTTTTTCTCTGTTTTTCAACACAGTTCAAAAACTATTCATTTTAGAGAAAAATTTAAGAGAAAAAAAAGATTCGTAATTAAATTTTACACATTAAATGTAGTATAATGCTTTTTTCTAAGATAATTTGATTTTAAAAATTTATTTATATATTGTTTGAACAAATTTTGAATGTTTAAACAAATTGAATACAATGTACGGATAAAAACTATATAAATTTGAGTAATATTCATTAATAGAGTAAAGAAAAATACGAGAAAAGTGAAGCAAATTAAAAAGTAGTAATTATCAATACAATATCAATATAATAATCAATATTAATAGGTCGATAAATAACAATAATTCGCATTTGAAAATGCGATATTTGGACTTTTCAGCGCACGAGACAACGATTTAGAAAAAAAATATCAAAATCGGACCACTAGAAGCCGAGATAATTAAAATTTTTAAGAGCGCCGCTATTTTGAACGCACGATTTCAATTTCGAGTCGGCCGGAATATACGAGCTCTCGACCCCCCACCACTACCTCCCATACATTTTTCGTGAATTTCATGGTCGGTGCAATAGTTTTAATCGACATTTTATATGGGTTGCACAAAGGCGCAAATTTTGCAAATTCATTCCCGCAAAGTACTCGGAATGACAAGGGTATTTGTTTAAAAAACAGCCCTCCAGACCTCGTAGTTACGCCATAAATGCCGGTCAAATTTGATCGACTCTGGAACCAATTAACGAATCACCACGTTTTTTTTTTATTTAAAGAAGCATCTTTCCGAGTACTTTAAAAGCATAATTCAAAACAATTATTATAATGAATTTATATATAATTTTAGTTATTCTATTTGTTTATAAGCGCAAAAATTACGTATATCTTTAAACAATTACCACGGCTCTCATAATTAACGGATTTCAATTTTTCTGGACGCATTTTAAAGTTTGGGTGCCCTTTTTCATGTGATAAAATTTTCAAGTATCTAGCAGTTTTAATATAGGCTCGGTTAAATTCGCAAAAATTATTTTTTTTTTCAAAAATCTGAATTGCAAAATTATTACTCGAAAACTATCGGACGGATTTTAACGAAAAGTGGTGTGTTTTATTATATCAAAAAGATTTTTTTGGCCAAGTATGAAGATCCTCGAAAAAATATTGTAATTTTTTTCACTTTTTTGTTGTTTTTGCTATATTTGCAATAATTATGTTGTATTTTTTATTTGAAAATAGGTATATTATGTGTAAAATTTACTTACGGATCTTTTTTTTCTCTTCAATTTTTCTCTAAAATGAATAGTTTTTGAACTGTGTTGAAGAAAAGAGAAAAAAAATGGAACTTTTTCCAAATTTTTCACTTTTTGTTTAATAATAAGTTTAGCACAGGTTTTGAAGTGCGCGCATAGTGAAATTATGTTTTGTTATATCATTTTAGAGCCATTAAAGCAAAATTTAGCGATAATATATGTATAAAACATCCATACATGGGTGTTTTGAAACAGATGCCGCCTGGTCTATACATATATACTACTTACCTCCTACTATAACTAATATAAAATAAATTAGCGATATCCTTAAAACGCCTCTCATGTCTGAAAAAAAAAGAATACATATTACTTAAAATCACATTGAAATTTAGGAATTGGGGAATAAATATTATATTTTTTATATGTCGAAATGATCGAAGAAAACAAATAAAATTTGCTTTATTAAATTAAAAATATAGTATTTATTTTTTGTGAGACCAACGATTGCAATCTACAAATTTGATATTTCTTTATTGTATTATAATGACTTTTATCTTCAAATAATAAACATGGCACTTAAAATTTATCAACGTTGCTTCTTCTGTAACAATTGATGGATTATCTTAAATATAAGCAAAAAGGAAGCTATTATTAAAAAAAAACAATTTATTTCTAATACCTATAAAGAATATATCGAAATAACGAAACAATTCCACGAGAATACAATATTAATCACGAGTTACATAAAATTTAAAATACTATAGTCTGTTTAGAAATGAAAGAGAATAATAAAAGCTTATTATGTATGCAAATCGTAAATAAATGTAGTACTGGTGCTTATATTCAATATTTTTATATTATGTATTATCGGTATAGATGAGGTGTACTTTTAAAAAAACTTTGTGTGACCGGGTTGTACTAAATTGTAGCAGGTAGCTAAAATTTAATCCCCGACAATCCGTCTTTGTCTATGCCGCTTCAATTTCTCGGTCCATTTCTCTTATAAGTAAACAATATAAAAACAGCATTTCAAAACATGAGGCTACTTTAAGCATCATAACCGGGTTAAGAGGGTTTTTAGTAATTCAAATAAAATTATTCAATATTATTATCAAAATATTTATTTAAATTTAATGAATAGACTTTTATTCCACACAAAAATATATGTATTTTGAAAATTCAAATTATGGTGAGTAAATGTAGTGTTGTATAAATGTACAATAAAGAAAATAAAAAAGTAGGTATATTAAAATTCATCCTCTGAATATTCTGATGAATTATCTTCGTCTCCTAGATTGATAACGATAGGTTCCACAGTAACGTCAATTAAATTATCGAGTTCCCACATTTTCTCCTCTTCTTTTTGTACATGATGTATACATCTTTGCCAGTTATCTGCAGTTACTCGTTCCAAGGAATTTTTTAACAAAATTTTCACGTCACTTAATTTAAACGTCGTATTATTTCGCGCTACATCTCCTTTTACCTGCGCCCAGACTAATTCGATTGGGTTAAGTTCACAGTGATAAGGTGGTAACCGTAGTACCGTTATTTGGCGATTTGTTGCCATTTCATCGATAACATATTTTTTCTGATCTTTATTAAGATTGACAAGTGTCAAAAGTTCCTTTTTCACCATATTTGTTTCAAAAGAAATGTTTTTTCCGGATAACCATTGAATTATATCGGCTTTCCTCCAAGCAGTCGTAGGCGTCCGCTCGGTCTGCCGTGAATGGTAACTGGCATTATCCATGACAATTACAGACCCCGGAGGAATAAGATCCAACATCTGTGTAAAATACTCTTCGAAAACATCTGCGTTCATGTCTTCGTGATAGTCACCTGTATTTTTAGATTCAAATAAAAGTAAACCGCCATCTACAAAACCACTGGCACTACCTATATGTGTCACTATTAATCTTCGCCCTTTACCTGAAGGTGCCTTGAACCCTGTTGAAAGTCCATCCAAAAATGCTTGTCGAAAACTTTTTACATTTTTATCTTGCCATACTTTTGTTACAGTATATCCCTCGTTGACCCAAGTTTCGTCTAGATAATAAATATTCCTCCCTTCGTCACGGAATTTTCTAATTGATCTTAAGTAGGATCTTCGCCAACAAATAATTTCATCTTTATCGATAAGAACTGACTTCCTGTTCTGCTTTTCCCAGCAAAAATTCAACTCTCGTAAGACGGCCCATAATTTGCTTCTACTGATTTTTGGCAAATCGTTGTCCTCTGAAAGTTCACTTAAAATTTTGTTTAGCGTTGGTTATTTCTTTTTTAAAATAAAATGGGTGTACTTTTCTGCGAATGACATTTGTGAAGTAATCATCTATAACGACTTTTGACATCCCTGTAGATGATTTTGGGGGATTTACAGTATCTTGTTCATTTTTTGTTTCTTTTAAAAGTCTGTAGATAGTCGATTTTCCAATCCCTGTCATGTTTGTTAGCATTAGTGTTACCCGATAATTACCTGAAACGAAATATTACCACGTCCATGGCCGGTTCTTATCTCGGGGTTTTATTACTCTCTTTCATTTCCAAACAGAATATAGTATCTTAGGCTTAACTCCCTGTGCTTAACTCCTATAATACTGAAAAGATAAATGAACTAAATAATGCATCGTCATAACAACACATTATCGTAGCAATTATAGATTGCTTCTTGGTCATATATTTTTCTAGATGAGATTTTTCCTCAATTTAATAACGGCAGTATGGATTCGTAGAAGATTTTATTGGAATCAATGTATGCTTGCTATTATCATAATAAGCAAATTGAAGTTAGTGGTCTGTTTATGAATCTCTCTGAAGTTGGTTTAGATAGTTTTTGTATTTATGAACAAAAGCTTTCACACTTATGGATATAACAGGAATTTTTTATGGAAGGCTTAACTGGTGGTACACTCGTGAATATATGGATACAGTACATTTTTCCATCCATAGTCTGTAGGTCTGTTGTGGACCCCCGAGATCTTAGAGTTCTTGATCAAACTTTGCTGCACTTCTACGAAACCAGTATTGTTCAGTATGTAGTTCTGTTAGTAGTATTTCTGTTAATCTGTGAATTCGGTTGGCCTTTTGTTCAAGGGTTTCTTGCCACCATTTTCGGGTCTTATCTTCCACTCTATGAGCAATACGAGTACTACAGGAGTTTAAGGGTTGAATATTTAGGTTGTAATCAATAACTGAAGCTTTTTCAGCTGCATTTGTCGAATGACATAGTATGCAGCGTGATTGCAATTTGCTGTGACTTAAGGAAGCAGAAAATTAGTAGATATAAATCATGAAACAAAACGAATTTCGATATTTCTAAAAATTTATTTAAGTATTTGACGTTTCTCTAACCAAATTTAATCATATATGACTTATGTATGTATTATTCAAATTGACTTGTTGTATTTCTAGGTACTTATTAGTTATTATAACAGTACAACTATATTGCTTTAAACTATTCCATTATTGTTATTTCATATAAATTCTAACATTTCGATGCCTTTTTTGAATAACGATTTATCTTTGGTCTCAAAATAAGCTTCAATTTGGGCAATCACTTCTTCATTGCGGCCAAATCTCTTTTTAGGTCTACAAACAGGTGTTAGTCACTGGGAGCCAAATCTGGAGAATACGGTGGATGGGGAAGCAATTAAAAGTGCAAATCGTGCAATTTTGCAATTGTTGCGACTTGTGACATGGTGCATTATCCTGATGAGTTCTTATTTCCTTCATTTGGGGTCGTTTTTTCACAATTACTTCCTTCGAACGCACCAATAACGCCATATAATATCCGCTATTGATGCTTCTTGCTTTGTCAAGGTAATCAATTAATAAAATAACTTGCATATCTCAAAATACGGACGCGAAAACCTTGCCAGCTGACATATGCGGTTTTTGGTTGTTTTGGGCAGCTTTCGCCAGTTGCTGTCTACTCTGCATATTGCCGATATGACCCTGGAGTATAGCGATGCATCCATGTTTCATCCATTGTCACATACCATATGAAAAAAAAGCCTTTTTATTGCTCTGAAACAGCTCCAAACAACGCGCTGAATCGTCCAGGCGTTGCTGTTTTTTTTTTATCAACTATGCGTAAACGCTTCGAACAGAGCTTTATCATATGTTGCGTTCATCACGTTGATCGCTACCTGAGCTATCACTGATCGGTGTGCTGAATGAAACAATTTGAGGGGAGCGCTCCAGAGCGAACAGTGATCAGCCGCCATTTTATATATCAAAAAAAATTTATGATACTTGATACATGATCAGTGATCATAATCACAGAACATAAATAAATAAGTAATTACTTATTTCTCATGTTTATAAACATACCTGAAATGCTCGTCGTGACATCCGAAAATGTTCTTTAAACAGATCATTTGTATATTGAGGAATCGTAACTTCAAAAAAATTGGTTGGCCCCTTGGTTCCACTCTGCCCTCGTTTGGAAGTGGTTGCATCAGTTGTTGGGCTACTTGACCAATTATATTTATATTTAAATAATCATCTGCCTCCATAAGCAGAATTCAGATCTTGTTCCATTTTCAGCGTTTGAATAACACAAATTTTAAAATTGAAAAGTGAGGTTATTGTTAGGAATTACATTAATCACATCTACACAAAGCACGTTCAGCCGACTTTAGTGATCATGACCAAAATGATAACTGATCTCTCAGTGATCGCTACTGCGTGATGAACGCAACCATTGACAAGTGTTCATGCAAAATGGTGAGAACGCTGCCTTCTATAACGTATCAGTTATCTCACATAACTCTAATTTACGAACAGCCAAAACTAATTTATGGACTTTTTTATGTTTTCTAGAATAACTGCTGCATTTGAACGACCAGAGCATTCAGCGTCATCGGTATTTGTACGGCAACGTTTAAAATCGGCAAACCACTTTTCTACTATTTGTGTCGATGGAGCAGAGGCCGAATAACACTTGTCAAGCCATTGCTTTGCTTGAGCGGTGTCTTTTTCCATTAAACACAAATTTATTTACGCACGAAACTCACATTTTTCCATTACAACTACACTGAAACCCATAGATCTAATATACCATAGATCTAATGTACTATTAGATCTAATATACTATTAGATCTATGCTAAAGCCACTGTAACTTTAGAAGTAAACGTCAGATTGTCATGAAATTTTGGCACGTATCATTTGAAGGTTAATACTTCCTAAAATCATAGATCTTACTATATTGGATATACATATGTTAAAAACCATATAGATTTGTCAATAGTTACTATTTTTTTAAACATTATTTCGTGGCATTTGTGCTTGTAATAGTTATAACTACGCCATTGGTTGTTACAGTTAAATAATGCAATCAGTCTGTATATCTCGTAATTTGTATAATACTCGCATTATGGGGATCTTCGTTATCTTAAGGGATGCAAGGTCGGTCTTGTTAGGACAAAGCAGCGGAATTTCGTCACGAATTACATTCAGAAGAGAAATTTGACCTAGCTTTCTTCGTTTTGAAGTTGTCGAGGAAAAGCTGAATCCAACGTTACCACTTTTACAAAAAGTGTTTTTAAAACAAAACATCCAGCTCAAATGAAATTTTAGCATTTTATTAATATTTTTATTTAAATCGACGTTTATGGATATAAAAATACAATTTTTGAATGCTTGAGACTCACTGATTAATTAGTTTTAAGCATAAAGGCTCCGTTTTATACGAAAAATGCTTTTTTAGTTCTCTAAATCTTGATATTGTCATCGAAAATTTGTTTCAATGTCAAAATTTTGTTGGCAAAACATTGTTTCTAAAAGTGGATAATTTGGTATTTCGGTCAAAAAGCAAACCAGGTCAAAAGAAAAAATTGAATTTGATTACTTCATCTTCATCTTACGCCACGGGTAAAATACAACCGAAGTTAAAATTTTTTAGTTTTTCTCTGATAACTTTGAAATAAAAAAATGATCAAATCCTTCTTCAACATTCGTCATTAAATTCTCAACATTGCCCAATTTAACGAACCTGGTATCTATTAAGATAACCTAGATAGCCAAGGTGGCACTCGATAAACGGACATCCTGTATATAAGGAAATGTCTATTAGAATTTACATTGAAATGTAAAGATCAAGAAATATACACATAGTCAACAATTCATTATTTCTCGCAAACATCCTAAGTACCAGAAAAATTTAAATATCAATTTTTATCATGACAGATGTTGGAATTGGAAATATAGACGGATTATTTATCTAAAGCGGCGTTTACATTAGGCAACTTCTGGTCGAACGACTAAGTTGATCGACTAAAAGTCGTCTACGATCGCCCATGTAAACCCGATTTCAACCGAGCCTGGGTGACTACCGGTCGTTCAACTAGAAGTTGACATTGTGGCTACTTTTGGTGGAAAAACTCGGTCGTTTCAACTAGCAGTCGACCGTCTAAACACTCCCGAATTAGTTGACAGTCGATTAAAACAGATATTTCTGTTGTGGTTCGTAAAAAAGCAGGCAAAATGTCTAAATTAAATTGGACTGGAAGTAAAATCATTAAATTTATAGATCTTTATCAACAGAATGAATGTATGTGGAACAATTCTAGTGACTCATATAAAAACTGTAATTTGAAGAAAACGGCGATAGAGGCAATAATAGAAGAAATGAATTTCGAGGGATTAACCGTTGCTGTTGTGAAAGAAAAAATTAAATCTATACGCACAATTTATCGCCGTGAACTTTCTTTACGTTTCACACGCGCCATCTTCAACGATAAGAATGTCGGCCGACAACGATGAAAGTGTAAACCTTTTTATCGAACGACCTCAGATCGATCAACTCGATCGACCGATCAGAAGTTGACTAATGTAAACGCCGCTTAACAATGTGTAATAATAGCCGTGGATCAAAATAGGTTTCCATCCTAAAACATTAAAATGCATTTATGCACTAAAATTAATAAAACCTTTTTTTATACAGGATCATAAGTAGTTTAATGTTGGATAATTTTTATTGCCCACTTTTTATTAGGTGTGTTTTTTATTTGAACCCTAACAAAGAAATTCAAAACTAAATGCAATTAGGTAATAAATATTTTGAAACCATGCAACACTTACTGAGGTATTTAACTCATATCCATTTAGCAAAACGTCCATAAAGAAACAGATCACACTGCACTAAATTCACCTATCACTTCACTTTCTGTAGAATCGCAGAAACTAACTTTGTTAATATTATTCGACTATTAATTTGTCCTATCTCAGATACGTTATCTCCTTTGTATAACAAATTTTAGCAATTATCGATCAAATAAAATTGCAAACAATACTCTCTTCTGATTTATTATTAAAAATGTTATCTTGTCATGGAGATAACTTCTCGATACTGATAACGATGACAAATACGATAAAAATAGGTTTTGATTTGCGATTTCAGATCACTACTCTTGGGAAGGACAATGAATCACTAATATTTTTTGCTAGTGTTTGACTATTATTTTTAAGTTATTTAAATCTAGTCTACTTAATAAAAATGACCAAAACTCATTGCAAAATGACCGTCGAATATTTAAAATTACCAATTTTTCTATTTGCTGATGATTCAAAATGTTTCTCAACAATTTGTTCCATATTTGATTGCCACAATAGGCAGTATGTCCTTATTAATCTTGTGCACAAATAATGGGATGTCCCTTAATACAGAGTTATGCCGTTCAATAAATTTCATCAGATCCAGAAATAAAATAAGCACTACATATTCTATAGGTAGACCAATTCCAAAATCAGTTGCAGTAGTGAGAGATCTGGGAATTACCCTCGCCATCAGCTTGAGTTTCAATCAACAAATCACAAAAATTATTACGAAATCAATTAATTTGTTAGGATTTTTTATAACATGTAATCATCATTTCACCGAAAGGCGACCCTTGAAAATTTTGTATTCTGCACTAGTAAGCAGGGCCGCGTTAAGGTATGTTGGTACCTTAGGCATACTTTTTTGGCCGCCCCTCTTCATCATTACACTTAACACCCAACCTAAATAAGTACAATAGACCAGGACGGATCTGTTTTGAGGTGGATGTGAGAAGGGGCAAGGTAATTTTTGCTGGAATACGTTCAGTACATAATAAAAGTGTAGATCCCTAGATCTGCTGGGTGAGGTCCGGAACATTTTCAAAATTGCAAAAATGTTTAAAAAATGTAAAAAAATCCCTATTTTATCTGACTTTTCTACTTATATATTGGAACCTATGCATTTTGGAAGAATATTGAACAGGAAAAAAGTTTTAGAATTGAATTTTGCACAATATACTGTAAGTTAAAAATGTTTAAATTTATTACCGATATTGCAAAATAGCAATAATTGATGAAAAAATGCAAAATAATCAAGTTTCTTGGATAATTTTTTAAAATATTTTAATTGCTTCGAGGGCATTCTAATTTTGGTAAAAAAAACTTTAGAGTATAATAAAATAACACATCAAATTTCATTAAAATCGGTTCTATAGTTTTCGCAAAATTATTTTTTGAAAAAAATTTTGAAATAAAATTTTCTGATTTTCCAAATATTGCATAGCCTTAAATAAAGCACCTAGATACTTGAAAATTTTTTCACATATTTTATCAATTTGCAATTTCGTTTTTTTCAAAAATTATAATTTTAAAGTACTCCGAAAGACGCTTCTTTAAAAAAAAGAACGAAGAAATTTTGCCCCTGAGCAATTAAAATATTTGAAAAAAAATAGCCAAAATAACTTGATTATTTTGCCTTTTTTCATCAATTGTTGCTATTTTTTTAACTTACAGTATATTGTGCAAAATTTAATTCTAAAACTTTTTTTCTCTTCAATATTCTTCCAAAATCCATAGGTTCCAAGATTTCCAAGATGTGTATAAGTAAAAAACTCAGATAAAAAGTAATTTTTTAAATTTTTTAAACATTAACTACAATTTTATTATGTGAGTTGTACTGAAGGTATTCCAGCAAAAATTATCTTGCCCCCTCTTACATCCAAGAAGTGGAATATTTCGACAGATCCTGGTCTACAAATAGTTTTGTAATTTTTGTTTTTAAATCATATTTTAATGTATTTATTTCACTCCTCTATTGTTTGTAAGATACATTGTTAAATTTTTATTTATGTTACATTTTTTATTAGAATTAGTATTTTTTTGCCGCCCCCTACCAGACTGCCGCCCTAGGCAGCTGCCTTTCTTGCCTAATGGATAAATCGGCCCTGCTAGTAAGACTTTGTCTTGAGTATGCTTCTTGTGTCTTATGCGTTATTATAATATTTATATTGAAATCTGCAACAAGTTCGGCAGAAATTTTTAAGGTATGTTGCTTTTAAAACAAATTGTTATCTTAACTTTGATCTTAATTATGCAGCACTTGAACAAGAATTAAACACTGAAATTCTAGTTCGTTGTTTTCTTAGAGATATAAAATTATTTTATAACATAGTTAAAACTAAACTCTCATATCCTGATTTACTGGAAAAAATCAGTTTGCACGATTGTGCCACAAATATCAACAAGATCAATTGACAAGAAGCCAATAAGAATTGACTAATACTGATTTATAATTCATGCTGGATCAAATGACCCCTTGAAAATTTCCGATGGGCTTGTAGTCTATATCACTTCTTCTGTGTTAGTCACTATTTTGTAATGCTCAAACGCCTCTTGTGTTTGAGCATTACTTTATTAAATAACTACAATGTTTTGTATTATACACTTTTAATACAAGTTAGTTTTTTTGTTGATAAATTGCATACAGTTTATGTTAATCTCAAACGAATTTAAGCCATAGAAAATACTGTTTCTAAACCGATATAATAAATATTTGTTTAATCAAATATAACTAGAACAATAATACCTGGTTATGAAGATATTGCATATTTAAAAAAAATGTTTAGTCCTGAGAGAGATGACGTAATACTCAAGTTGTCACAGCACCACGACATCTTTGTTGTGTGACTGGGAAAACAACACAATAAGATCAGTCCTATTTATTCAGTTAAAATCTTGGGCAGTATCTATCGTTCAAATTTTCTTTTTTAAGGGATAGAAAAATATTTTTGATAAAGCAAATGAATGAACTGAATTTAATGAATGGTATCAGTTTTGTACTTTTTGACGTGAATAGAAAATTAATAGCATTATAAATTTGTTTTTTTATGTAGGTAACACTTATTTTTCAAACATAAATATTTACGAAATGAGGCATCTTATGTCTTGGATGTTTGGTCCTGAAAATATTTCTTAAAAAAAAAACCTGTGGCGGAATGCAGCTTATTTTATGTTTCTAACGAAATTTCAGCATATCTTGGAGCATATCAATGGAGGAAGCACGCTTACGGCGACAGTGTAGACGAGTGACAGAGAGAGGAGAGAATAGTTTGGGTACTATCTTCCTCTCTAGCACAGGCATGATTGGCTAATGTAACTCCTTGTTCAACGATTAGACAGAGAGCTACAGCGTCTACACTGCTTCCTCCATATATGCTGTAATAAGCATATAGAGAACCTTCATAAATGTTTACATGCCATGTCACCGCCCTAAATCTTGGTCACGTGGCTTGTAATCATTTATGAAGACTTTATAGAAGCTATACTCTTCAAATTATTTGGTGATGAAAATATACATTATCGTGGCCAGGTTTCTACATAGTAACATTGTTGCAATATTAAACAATATTATGATACTGATGTAATAAGTTTTTCAGACATTTCAGTTGGATTCGAAATCCAGTTTTAGTTAAATTTGAACAAATTGCTTATTATTTCTTAATACTTTTGCCTCTAGACGAAAGTATTTAAGAAAATATATACATTTCCCATTCGACACTCCGTACGTGCGGGATAAAGATTAGTATCTATCTGGCGCTACTCTAACGGATAAAAAATAATTGGTAAAAAATAACATGCCACTGATAGCATAGTACAAAATTATAAAAAACTCGATCATATTGGAGAGAATTAATTTTCACCTAAAATAAAACATCCAGAATATTTTAATGGCTTTATCTAAGGTTACTAAGGCCATCGTAATCTAGAGTCAGAGGTCTTCCAGTTCAGTCACGAACTTCTTACCGATTAAACACAATAATTCAGTAGTGTCGGTTCATCCAGATCCCACACCTTCAAAAAGTAAGTGATTTTTTAAATGATTTATTTTTTTTTTAATTAAATTTTTTATTCTACGTTAACTGCTTACAGAAAAATAGAGTTCTTTACTGAAAAGAATGACAAACCTTTTGGTCAACTTAGAATTTTGTACAAAAATGAATAAGAAACTGAAATGCTAAATGCCTTATAATTTTATAATACAGTACCTATTTGTAAACTTTTTCGTTTGGGGGTCATCTATGACAAAATTTTTGTACAATCTATTTTTCCCAGAATATTTTGCAACCGGTATGATAAACATAATTATGACATTTGGATTTAGTTACTTTTCTAGAATTAAATGTTGAAAATACGGAAAATTGCATAAATTGACATAAAGGAATTAAAATTTAGATCTTTGAGAAATTATAATAATTAATAATTTAGTTAATTAATTATTTATTTCATTTATACGGGATGTCCCGGTTTATTAGTATACAGACAATGAGCATAACAGTAAATGACAAATGAAGGTCAAATATTTTTTTCTAAACAGGACCCAATAACTTGTATATTTTGGTGTGGATTTTTTGAAGATTGTAGCGTTATTAATGTTGTTTTAAACTCCTCAAAATTTGTATTTTTCAATAAATTATAATATGCAATTTTCGAATCTTACATGCAAATTTCAAAATGTACCAGTTTCTGATATATTTCCATTTACTTCAATGATTTTATTATTTAACGTATTCTTTATCTAATTCTTTGTAATATCGAACAATTTTGCAAAATCTCTAACCCAATTAACCCTGTATAAATACTAATTTTAATAATTCGGAAAATATTGTAAATCTTATTTAACTTTCCTCCAAGAATGACTATTATTTTTATATTTTGTATTTCCCTTTCAACAAAATGTTTAAAGCCACTAAGTTAATTTTTTAATATTTCTCAACAACGCATTGCTACAGTACCATTCCCTACGTTTTCAGATAATAATAATTTACCCAGATTAAGATCTGATGACCACTTTTTATTCATAACTTAATTGGTTATTGAAAAAAATATGGTATAGGTATTAGAAAAGTCTTATATAGTTGGCCTATAAAGACAACAAAAATTGGGAAGTCTTGTTTCACGACCTTAAATGTTATTTTTTAATGTAATT